CTTCTTGACTTTCTCTAACGTGTTTAAATGTCGAGAAATAATTGAATAATGTCCAGTATGTTCAACCTTTCTGTGGCTTCCCAGACAGTCAGGCGATGTTCTGATTTGTTGTTGTTCTTTGATTCTGAATTTTGAGATTTGTATCCCTGGAATTAAATTTTTTTAACCAATGCTTGGTGGCCTGCTCACTCACAGAACCTTCAGCAAAAGTTTTATTGGTATTTTGGATTGCTTCAACTGCATTATGTCCCTGCTTATACTCGAAAAAGAAAATTATCCAATTTTCCTTTGTCCATGCCGTACTCTTAAATAGGTGGAACTCACAATAGAAATGAGATTACATTTTTAAATTCACATATTATATGTGTACTTTTCCAATTGTAAATGTACAGCACTATTCATGTGGAAAAAAGTTGAACTACAAGGCCAGAAAGTTTAAGTTTAAAAAAATGGCTATTTCCTTTGCAACAACCCAATACTTTCATTTCAGAACAGAGAATTTACATTGAGATTCCACAGAAATGGAGAAAGCACACTACCCTTGTGGGCAGGATTTGGTAAGATACTTTTTGTAAGATGTGCCCTGTGATACCAGACTTACCTTCCTATCGCTTAAATAGAGCATATCATACTGAGCAGGTAAGGTGATCATTGAAGCTTTTTAAGATGATTGATGATGCTTGGGTTCCAAGCATTATCAAAAGCACCTTGAATATCAAGAAAAATCACTGCCATGTATTTTTTGTTATTAAGTCCATTCTGGATATATTGAGCATTTCAAGAATCAGATTGACAAATTGAACATATATAACATTCTAAAATAAATAATATACAAGTATATATATATATACATACATACATACAAACACACACATATATATATATATATATATATATATGTACAAATAATAGAAATAATATTTAAGGTGACATTGTAAAACATTAGAGAAAGTTAGACTTGATAGATGAATTGGTGAGCAGATGATAGTGTCTGCATCTATGTAATTAATTGTATATAATAATGGGCTTTATAAATTTTCAATATCTAAGTGCCTGAGAGTGTTATGGTTCCTGACCAGTCTAATTATCTTAGCATCCTCTCACTTAACTTGTATGTCTTGTTGGGTGGTGTAAGCTGCTAGGATTGTATTGCCTAATATTTTTTCAATCTATATTGATGTTCCTCAATCCTTTGAGGCTACTTGCAGTGGCTTTATATAGATACACCTTTTATTAAATTTTCTGTTCTCTAGTAAGATGGTATAAATTTCTGTTGGAATAATTGGCTTTGTGTTTGTTGTTTTGTAGAATACTAAGATTGTGCAATTGTATTTATACATCAAGTTTTTATTATTGTTTTTGACCAATTCCTTATGTATTTTTCTTAAAACTGGAATGGAGTTTAATGCAAACCAACTCCTATAGTCTGGTTGTGAACATATGGATCTTGTTGAATCATAGGTGGAAAGTAAGTTTTATATTTTCATGGCTAGAAAGCCATTACCTGGGAACTTTCTCAATGTACTTGGGAGCTCGCTTATAATGTTTCTCATACAATACTTAAACATTCTTTGTGTTAATAACCTGAATGCTGAAAGTTTGATGTAAGGTAGGTCACTGAGTTGTATGGAATGAAAACCAGTGTATGTGAGTTTACAATAGATAGTCATATGACTAGTTCACACAAAATTCCAGATGTAGGACTGCTCTTAGGGATACCCCTCCCTTGCACACAGATCTTGTTTTCAGAAAGAAAAAAATGAATAGCAGCTCACCAAGTAAGCCAGTTCTAAAATGTGTCAGTAATATTTATGTGCACCTTCTAGGTTGGTGAAAAGAAAATCCTCTAAGCTTGAAGAAACAAGGAGGACAGTTTAATGGATGGGTATAGTGTCTGGATGTCCATTGATGTTGTGTAGAAGGTGCACAGAAATATCACTGACAAATTTTAAAACTGGTTCACTTGGTCTGCTACTCATGATTTTTCCTTTTTGACAAGATCTACGTGCAAGGGAGGAGTTTCCCTATGGTCAAAAACAACAACATAAACTTGATATATAGATGCAATCTCACAATCTTTATTATTCTAGAAAACAATAAAGACAAGAAATTTCTCAGAAGTTTATACTATCTTACTAGAGGACTGACAATTTAACAAAATGCTTATCTACGTAAGATTATTGAATGTGACCTCAGACAAAGGAATAAAGAACATCAATAAAGGTTGACAAAAAAAATTATGCAACACAATCTAGCAGATTATGCCAATCAACATGACATACAAGTGGGAGGATGACAAGATAATTACCATATATCTGCGCAAATAAGAAGATAGTTGAATCATAAAAAAAGGCCCCCAAAATCTGGGGTTGTCTTATAGAACAGATAGAAAAAAAAAATTAGATAAAATTTGTATAAATTAAAACCATTATAAAAAGTGGAAAACCATAATTATTTACTAGTAGAGAGTAGGGTATGTCCGCAAAATAGAATAGCCCATATGATGTTTTTGTAAATAGTTAAGGTTACCTGAATGCCCAAATCAGTGCGAATGTTTGCAACAATAGCAAGACAGTACTGCCAGATGCAAGAAAATGAAATTTGCTCATTCAAAAAATTATGAATAGGACATAATCCCCATATACACTATACAGTATTATTATGCAGATGATGATCACTGATCTAAACTAAATTCATAGGCCGTTGATAGTTTGGGGGTCATCTTATAAGACAGATATATGCTAAAACTATAAAACTTCAACAAAAATTTATACTTCGTCTTATATATGGTAAATCAGCCAGAAACCATATCCTCCTCAGATATTTACAAGGAGGGGGCCAGATGTTTGAGTCTCCAATTTGAACGAAACTTGGTGGGCACACAGCCCGAAACACAAACAACTCCTTGTAAAAATAATAGGTCCCACTTCTTCTTGTAATGGCAACAGATGAGTGAATGAGATGTGCGATACTGGAGCTACATGATGTAGGTTCAAACCTTCCTAATTTTAGTTTTTTTTTCCTGTGTAACAAAGGTATTATTTTACCATATTGTTAGTATTATTATTACTATTATTATTCCTCATGTTTAAAGCTTATAAACAAAAGATTAAAAAGTGACATCATTTTTGTTTAGCAAAAACACTTTGTTTTTGCTAAACAAAAGTAGATTTGCTAAAAAAGTAGATTTAACTCTTGTACACCATATGCCATTAAATAAAATTTTTATTTCTTCATATTAATTTTCAGATATGATGGTATTGTTATATTTGAAGTGTAACAAATGTGAGTGCATGAAGAAATTACCCATAACGTTAACAATTAAAAAAATGCGGCAACTATGCTACCCCATTATCATATCAGACTTGTCTTTTTTGTCCACTTGTAATAATATCTGAAGCTTATTTGCTTGTGGTGACACAGTATGTAAATGCAAGCAAAAATATCTGAAAATTAATATGAAAAAATAAAAAATTTATTTAACAACATACAAGAGTTAAATCTACAAAGACTTCATTTTCACTAAACAGGAAATGATGTCACATTTTTAAATCTCATTTTATAAGCTTTAAACATGAGTAATAATAATAGTAATAGTAATGCTAATGATATAGTAAAATAATATAATAATTTTGTTAAAAATAAAAAAGGAAAAAAACTAAAATTGCAAAGGCTTAAGTCTACATCATGTAATCTGTGCCTCACATCTTATCTACTTTGTTATTGCCGTTAAAAGTAGTAAAATTTCCAAAGACTTATAAGCAAAAAACTCAATATTCAGAGGGCTGTCTTTTGGAAATGCTTGAGAAGTGGGTTTTATTATTTTGACAAGGAGCTGTTTGTATTTAGGGCTATGTGCTGACCAAGTTTTGTTTGAATTGGAGACTCAAATGTCTGGCCTCTCTTTGTTAGAGACATTGCGATTTTGTAAAGCTCATAATAAACAGCATTAAATCAACTACAGATATGCAGACATTTTATCATCTGCTTAGCAATCCATCTATGAAGTTAACGTTCTAATGTTTTATAATGTTACCTTAAATATTATTTTAATTTGTATAAACAGCCACTCCTCACTTAATGGCTGTTCCATTCTTATGACTAGATCATTAAGCAAATTTGTCTTTAAACAAGGAGCTTTTTCGTTATGTATTAATTCTAGATAAAGAAAAGATCTAAAGGAAACTCTGCCTCAATAACTTTGTTTTAATTTGCATCTCACACATTACAGAACATAAGAATACAATCAGCAAAAATTATAAAATCTTTGTTTTTGTTATATTATATTATTATATAAAATGACGTACAGTATACTAAAAAATTAAAGTTCATTCTTGAAAAGAAAAAGGCTTTCAGATTAATATTTTAGTCACTGAATTCTTCAAATGGGATGCATAACAAAGAACAAATTTATAAACAAAAAATGTGGACTTGGAAATTGAGAATACTTCACATAGTGAATACTAACCAACTGCAGAAACTAGATAATAAGAAATAGATTTCCTGTGCTGGGAAAGCTGGTTATAAGTTCAAGCAGTCATTAAGGAGGTAGACTATTAAGCAAGGACTGGCTATATACTTTTATTTAATAACTTTATTTTTATGTTTCTTTACAATTTTATTTTTGTTATTTTTCTTATTGGTTTCCATTGTGTTTAAAATTTGTATATATTCTATTTATTATGTAATATTATATACATTCAATTCTGTTAAGTTATCTATGTTCTTACTGAAGATGATCTATTAATAGAGGTCAAACATTCTTATTCTATTAAAAACATATTGCTGGAGTGAAAAGGCGTATTTGTTTAATTGTTTGAATCTTATCCTGTTTCATATATATTATTACATTGTTTTATTATTTTGTTTTATAACAAAATAATAAAACAATAACAACAAAATAAATTAGGTTTTTATAAACCTAATTTATTATTCTTATTGTTATAATTTTTAATGTGTTCCTCAATTTAAATATTTAATTAAAACTTTTACTTACTTACCTATAGGTGGCAACACAGTCAACTATTCCTTTGTATAAAAGATAAGGATGCATAACAGGTTTTTCTAATAATTTTACATTACAAATATATGGAATCACTGTTTTTAAGCTTTTCCAATGTCCTAAATTTTCTGCTTTTATAATTAATTCAGATTCAGGTATTCCCAATAAATAATTTTCAATACAACGATGAAGAGATGATCCATTTTCAAATGTATCTGGAATAATAAAAAAATACCATATAAAAAAAAAAAATACATTTTTAGTTTTGACAGAACAAACATAGTCTCTTGATTATAAAACTGCATTTAACTTTTTAAATTAAATCTCTCTATTTATTGCTTTTAAAACTTCAATAGCATTGTAATGTATCATCTTAAAAATAATTACATTTGATCATTGATTATTTGAAAGTTCTATACTAATTATATAAAATGTGGAAAATTACACTTCATTGAAGGCAATAACAAATTTCATCTATAATAAAAATATAATAAATTTTATTCAGCAAATAAATCAATCTCATTATTCAATATTTGTTATGAATTGTTTATTGAAATTTAAGAAACATGTATCCAAAAGATGTTGAGGTTTGTTATAGCTTGACACTAATTCTATTGTGACAACAAGAGCCAATAAAAAATTAAAATTTACTTTTGAAGTTAAAAACTATGAAATTAATTACTAAGAAAGACTATTCCTAATCAAGATAACTAAAAACCTATATTTCCTAGAAAGTAAAGATGTCAGTCCATCACTTTGTAAGATTGAGTCCAATTTTCACATGCTTTTACTTCTAGACAACCCATGCCTATCCTTTGCCACCTAGTCTGTCCCACAATTGACAAATCCATTGCAGACATATAAAAAAGTCTTTTTAATAATCACAGAATAAAAAAATTAAAAAAGAAAAAAAAACAAGGAGAAAATATTTCATAACAAGATTTGATAAATTTTAAAAATTCCAGAAATATTAAAGATTAATTTAACAATGGTAAAATGTCAAAATATACTAATCAAACTTAGAGATGTAGTTATCCATCAACAATTAAGGGTCATGTATACTTTAAGGGGGAAGAAGGATCATGTAAAGTACAGGTATCCCTCATACAACATGGCATTTCTATAACATGGTTTGAAAACTGGGAAAATCCCCCATACATCACGATTTCTGGTTTCGCTCTAACAGTTTCAAAAATCATCCATACAAAATTTCACAATTTTTAAGCATAATCTCTGTTATTTGATATTTTTTTCTATTCAAGTAAGCTTGCATGTTGTCTCAAATTTGCCCATGGATTTTAGAAAATATTGAAATTTTCAATTTGTTTTGTGCCTTTCATCAGGCTTACTTTAGTGAAAACTGGTAGTGCAAAATTTTTTTTCTTTTTTGCACTATATTTTCTATATTTATTGCTTTCATATTTTAGCTTTTAAGACTGTCACTGTGTTCTTTTTAATAAACTTTTTCTTTATATTTAGTAAAGTTTATTTAATCATTTTTAGGGTAAGCAATAATTATTAACCTTTACTTAACCACAGATAAGTAATCGTTCGTAAAAATGATGAACAAAATATGGTGGTATCTCAGTACTCAAATTGTTCCCAACTCGAGTAATTTGGTATTCAAGCACAAATTCTGGAAAAATTGCTCAGTCCTCGATTGAACAAATGCAACCTGCTAGAACAAATTTTTGATTAAAATTTTTATTTTTTCATCCATAAACAAGTAAAATGGCAAAGCTGTATTTGGGACAAGACTATATCTCAGAGACTCACTACTAAGTTGGATCACTTCGACGCTCAAGGTGGGTCCCGTTCTCATTCTCCAATCTTCTTTGGTATCGCTGGTTTTGAGCGTGATCATTCAAACTTTGCTGGCCTTGGCCACGAGGTCGTCCATGATGCATTTTCAATGAAATTAACCTATCCAATTTCGAAATTTCTCTCCATTGTGTGTTGCCCCGGGTTGAATTTTTGTTGATGCCCAATGAAAATTTCCTGTTTTTGAAAAAAATAATTGTGGCTATCATATCTGAAATTATTTTTTTATTTTGCACAAACAATATATATATATTAATAAATGTAAAAAGAAAAAAATTATATTTCAGAAGTTAGTTTTAATATAAAATTATAACTGGCGCCATCTACTTTGAAAAATGTTCCAATTCTGAAACGAGATATCTTGGGTCAATCAGTCAAGGTCAGCACGTGGCAACCAGAGATATGTGGAGAATAACACGTGACAGGTAAATTGGTTTTTTCCAAAGATTTGTTTGTCAAAATTCAATTTCTCACTTCAAACTTCCCAATGCACGTGTTTGTCAAAGTTTGATTTCGTAATGATCACATTTCCAACTTCCCAACCAGCAACACATGCACAAATCTTACACTACTGCCTGTTTGTAGAGAGTGTTGCCATTTTGTATTTTATTTTGACTCGGTTCTTTGTCCCAAGTACCTACAAGTCTGGTTTTTTTTATGCATGCATGATTTGGGCATCAAATACTCTGTGCCAAATATCAACTCATGACATGTACAGTACTCCTTCATACCTCTAAGCTGGTAACACAGCAGGGAGTACAATTTTATAAACAAGACATATTTTTATCATAATTTTTGACAAGACTATAAAAAAATGAAAATGTTGCTGATATTTCTAATCAAGATCAACAAAAAAGCTGAGATGACAATGATACTTTGTAAGAAGAAAATGCCCTCATTTAACTAACATTAATATTATCACATAAAACAGTATTTTTAATTGAGATTGTTAGTTAATTATTGATTGGAAATAAATTATAAATTGCTTTAATAAACATTTCTCTTAGTAATGAATAAGAACAGTATACTTTCGTTAACTTTTGGAACCTAAGACAATGTTTTGTATTAGTCCTTTGTTTCATATAGCACGAATTTGCATACAATGGCACTTTGTTGGAATATTGTGTTATATGAATGATATCTGCACCTCAAGTACATAATGGGGAGGTGGTCAAGGCATTGTCTACATGGACTTTTAGCAGTATTAGTGGCATATAAATTTCCTCTTATAAGCCTATTTACTAGTCGTGAATAAGCTATGAGTTAGAAAATGTGAAACAAATTTTAAGTGATTTCTTCAATGTTAGGAGATTTCAAAAACTTGCATTGGTTGTTCTGGAAATTTGTAGTGATTTTTGAGAAAAATAAAAAAAAATTTTTTAACTAAAAATATACCTTTATTCAACTTTGTATCACTGTAGTTTTTAATGACATGTTGCCATCTATGGAGAAGCTTCATAATACCCTCTTCATAGAACTTCTAGTTTTTCCCACAAAAAACTGTTCCACATGGTTTTTACAAGCTTCCAAATTATCAAAGTTTTTTACCACATAGAAAATTCTACAGAGTCTGGAAAAAATGGTAGTCCAATGGATCCAGGTCAGGGGAATATGGAGGTGGAGCAAAAATCCTATCCTAGTTCCAATAATTTTTGACATGATTGTAAAGAAGTGTGTGCTCTGGTATTATCTTGATGAAACCAATGCCTTTCCTGTTGGCCAATTCTGGATGTTTTTCTTCAAATGCTATCTTCACAGTTGATCCAGTTGGGAACAATACTTATTAAAATCAATTGTTTGATTTTGTGGAAACAGCTTGTAGTACAAAATTTCTTTCAAATTCCACCAAACAGTGAGCAAAACATTCTTTGGAAGGCCTTTGGAGTTTTTAATGGTGGTTCAGTTTTCTTGCCCATGATCATTTTTGGCTGATGTTTTAAATGATCCACTTTTCATCACCTGTCACTATACATTTCAGAAAAGTCATTTTCATTTTGTTTTTGAAGAGAATTGCAATTGGAGATGCAATCCAAGAAGTTTTTTTCCATTGAGGTAGCCAAATTTCTTAACGATTCACGTATCTGAGCTTCTTCAGATGTTGAAATGACTTCACTATGTAAGCTATCTCTCAAGTTGTGTAATAAGGTTTGTCATCTAATAGTTTTGATCTGGTCCTCTTCAATAACAGAGTCTTTTTAAGTGTGAGGCATCTTTGAGGTTGCAATTACCTGCTTTAAATTTAGCAAACCACTTTTGAACAGTTGACTCTGCTATAGCACCATCACCATAAACATCACATATTTTTTCCTGCTGTCTGTATATCATTTTTATCTTTTTAATAGGAGAAAAGAAACAGGTGTCAAAAATTAAATTTGCTTGCTTCCATTTTTGTAACAAGACAAATTAAATGTTCTTTATGAAAAATTCACTAAGATTATTTGAATAATCTTAATGAATATTTTTTAATGCACATCATTTTTCATAATATACATTGATTCATACCAATAATTCTAATAATTTCCATTTCATCCAGTGTCTCAACTATATGTTATGGAAATAAACAAATTGCTACAAATTTTCCATACAACCTAATACATGAAATTAAAGAAGAGAGTTTGCCAATAGTACATCATGGTACACCACAGAGAGAAAATAAACGGACTCAAAAACTGTACACATAATTAACAATGATTCTGAAGAAAGAAAAATTTAATATTTTATATACTGTTAACACAATATATCAATTACAGATTATTCAAACTATGGTTAACATCACCTATAGTTTCATATTGTCTTATGCAAAATTCTAACATTAAAAATTGATATACTTCTGAAAGTATTATGAAATTTATTGTCTTATTAAAATTAATAAAATTCTGAAAAACTGATCATGTTTTTGTCATTAAAATATTAATTAAAATTCTAAATAATAAAAATAAATTTATAATTAATTATTTAAAAAATCATCAGCCAAATCAATTAAATACTATTGGATGAACAATATAAAAGTATAAAATAAAACCGTAATTGCTCAATATACATAAATGTATTGATTATTTATCAAAGTATAAGCTATTTCAAATATTTAATCAGATGTCAATTCTCCAAAGATTTTATTCATTGTATAAATTTGTACTTATGCATTTAATATATTTTGCTCAATTTAATAATCTAAATATATAAAATTGCTTGTCCTGACTGACTGAATGACTCACTCATTCACTCACTGATTCATCATCGCCCAGAGTAAACCACTTAACCTAAAGAGGTGAAATTTGGTAGACAGAGTACGTCATGGAAACACACACTAAGAAAGGATTTTTCGAAATTCCCCCATGGGGGGAGGGAGAGGATTAAGACTTAACCGGAAGAATGGCTTCTACTGTATATTTTAGATGCGATTTTTTGTTTTTATCTGTGTTGTGGTAGGGTATGCCATGAGAATGCACACTAAGAAGGGATTTTTCAAAATTCCTCCGCAGGGGAGAGGAAGAAGATTTAGTCTTCATCGAGTACTTAGGTGTATTAAATTAATAACATTTTAGACATTGTTATAAATATTTTTATCTATTTCGATTTTAAAAATGTTCAAACCGTTTTAAATTTGAATTTGTTATTGCATATTGGTTCAATTATAGAATGATTGTAAATGTTCCAGAAAATTGATCAAATTGAAAATAGTTTGTTTGATTCTTGGCAATTCTCATCATTCTCAGCAGTAGGTGTTATATAACAATTACTATGGTTGTTGAAATACTGAATATAAAGCTGTTAGCTGCAAATTTTGCTTGCAAAATCTGCAGGTAACAGCTAGTACAAAAATATAAAATTAAAAAAAAATAAAAATTTTTATGTTTATGTCCTTGGTATTAATAAAAATTATCATACATTATTGAATGATGTAGAAGGTAGAATTTCTGCATAATATTTGATCTAATTAATAAAATAAAACAAAAATTACATAGAACTTACCTTTCTGGTACTTTTTGAATCCTTCTTCTCCTAGTTCTGAAATCATTTTGGCTTTCCATTTTTGAAGAATTGCCATATTTGTCGGCGACATAGTTTGATTTAAAACAGTTGTAACACTGGGAAAACTATAATTTTTTAACTCTGATAAATATGGTATCCCTTCATATTTATCATTACTACTTATATTTAATAATGGAAAATCTAATGCATAAGTTATGTTAAAATTAGAAGATGGTAGAATATATTTATTTTTATGTAGTACAAAGTCTTCGGCTTTCAAATTTTCAAAATACAGAAGGCATTTCTTTTCTTCAATAAATGAAAAATTTGAAGAGTTTTCATTATTACTTAATAGAGAATCTGAAACAGGTTTTATTAAACTTTTTTTATGAGCTCTCCTTTTCAGTAATGGACCAAACAGATTAATGTTTTCCCAATTTATTCTTTTTATAACTGGAGCTGATTTAATGCTATTCAAAACTGTCTGACCGTCATTCGAAAATGATTTGTGTTTAACAGTTTCCTTAACTTTTGATGAATTAAATCTCTGAATAGCAAAAACTACATTTTTATACCACTGCTGTCTTATTTGCATGTTTGAAGTTAGAATTTCTAAATAATCCTGAAAATAAAAGTATAAACACTTAATTCTTGATATTATAAAAATAAATATTATAAGTATTAATTTTTTAGGGATAATACTCTTAATTTTATTTCGTTGTAAAGATCTTTCAATGGAAGTTCATTACAATAAATTTCAAACAACTCCAGGGTTAAAACTTTATAACAGCTTCCAAATTTAAGTATCTTGGATCATATGTACTATCATATTCACAGCATGTAACGTTGGAATGAGTGCAGAAATCCAGTATAGTTCAGAACAGCTGGTTGAACTGAGAAAGACGAGTGGGATGCTGTGTAATAAAAAAATAAGCTGCAAAATGGAAGGAAGATTATATAACACTGTGGTAAGACCTGAAATAATATACAGCAGGGTGGCCAACAAGTCAATTGCAAAGCCAATTTTGGTCAATCACTTGTGATGACTTGACTTAATGTATTACTCTTGTAACTGAACACAACATGCAAATGCAACTATAGTGATATCAGACCTCTGCATCTTCCCCTAGATGCTGTTTTGTCAGTCCATGTGCAACCATTTGCCTACAGTTGTAAAAGGGGAATAAGAAATGTAGACAAAGGGTCATAAAACTGAAAAAAGAAAGGCGGAAAGAGGGACAGAGAGAGTAGGTCAGGACATGATAGAGAGAGGAAGGGAGAAGTGGTGGTCCCTGAAAGTGACATTGAGTTTCAATTTTTCTTCTGTTTAAAATGTAAGAACCTTTTCTTCATGTTTTAAATTAAATTGTGGCTTTTCTTACATATCTAAACATAGTATGTATTTCACACCTCCCTCTCGCCACTTAGACTATGCCTACGACAACAAGTCGATCATGACACATTTTTAAGATAAAAAGTAGATCTTATGTACACAAAAGTACCACCCCTGATATACAGGATCAAGATGTGGGCAATTACAAAAGCCCAAGAAAAAGGAGGAGGAGGCAGCAGAGACAAGAATGCTGAGATAGACACACATTGTGATGAAGGACAGAATCGGTGTTTAGAATTGAATTAGTTAGCCTAGGTAATAACTAGGGTTATAATAAATTGGAGGGCTTATCTAATCAGGGCCCTAAGCTCTCCAATTTATTATAACCCTATTTATTAGGCTAACTAATTCAATTCTAAATTATAGTTGTGAGCAGGGCTGTGGAGTCAAAGTCAGGAGGAATTTCTAGCCAGAGGAGTTGAAGTCAGAAAAGATGTGTCAACTCCGACTCCCGCATTTTAAATTTACTTTAGTTTTTTTATTTAAATAAAAGAAAATTTATTATATATTTGTTAATTTTTAAAAATCTTTTTGTATTTTGTTATAATTCATTTATTTTAAATACAAAATGCATCAATTTAATTTATTAAATATATAGTATTCTTTGAAGTATTTGTGTTTAGTAGTTAAATTATTTTGACACAATTGGATTTGAATATTTTTGAATCATTCCTTTATTACGTCTGCTCTAAATAAGTACTCTATTTTTCTGAATGAGCCAGATTAATTGATCAGAGTACATATTTTTCTTTTCTGAACAAAGGACTGAAGTAGCTAGCTAGATCACACACTTTTTAGTTGGACTAACTCTTCTGAAAGGGTGAAATTGAAGTGCAAATGCTGTCAAATATATGAAGACGTAGAATTTTATCACCCCCTTTCTCCTCTTATTAAGTATTTGTTAAAAATTAATTTTTTTGTACAAATAAATATTAATGTAAGGTAAATATTAAAAATACTAACTATAACAGTATTTGGGTAAATGCCCCAGGCTTCTTTCAAAGTTCAAAGTAGGGTACCCCCCTATGAGCGCCTCTGCCCCCCATGAAATGGCTTGGTATTTAATTTTGCCAAGTCAGAGTCGGCCTACTAAAATTATCAGGAGTAGGAGTTGAGCGTTTTTTTACTGACTCCGTAGCCATGGTTGTGGGCAAGAAGCATTATTTAATATTATAGAATCAGGAATGATTACATAAGAGGTATAGTCAAGGTGGGTCCTATAAGTAAAAAAATGCAGGATGGGTTGGACATGTGGAGAGACGTGAGGACTACATTGATAAGAGGATTGGGAGGTTGGAAGTGACAGGGAGGAGGAAGCAGAGAAGATCGAAGCTGAGATGGAGAGACAAGGTAGCAGAAGATTTGGGAAAGAGGAAATTCCAGACAGACAGAAGTGGAGAAGACAGATTAAAGATGGGAATGCTGACTTCACATAAACATGGGAAAAAGCAAAGGCAAAAGAGAAGTAATAGATTAATAGGCTTGATTGGAGGTATGGTATTTTATTAATACATTAGCAAGTACAGTACATACCCATCTTAGGTATAAATAGGACATTCTCAACATTCCTTAACAAAAATAGTTTGTCAATAGTTTATGCCTAACTTTCTTTAACTGACAAGATGCAAACCGAACTCATAGCTAATCAGACAAAAGCAGCATTAATTGAAACTGTACTATATTGCAGAGATGTTTTCCAACTTTAATGCAAGAACCCCGGACAGAATGAATGTTTAATCAACAAAAAAGGGAAAATTAGTCGATACGATATTGTTGACAGCGATAATTGTCAACTTTTCTACCCGAGAGCATCTCATCTTACGTGTTCTCAACGCCAACAGAGACACTTTTCCATGACCTTCCAACCTCATGGCCATATTCTACCATTTTTAATGTGACAGATAGCAGCCAGATCAGGCAGTTGTCACTAATTCCCCCAATGTTCAAGAAGTTGTTGCCTGCTCTTCTAATGTTATATCTTCTAATGTCTGATCGTTACCTCCTCCGATCAACTCCAAAACAAGAAATTTCAACACTTTCTTCAGACTGCCCTTTTGTGCTGGACTCTCACTCATTGACCCTTCTGTCAACATAACGATCCTCCCATCTACAACGGTTTTCCATTTATCTCCAGGTATTTATAACAATGTGCAATTTCACGTAAACTCTCTTTCTCATGAATGCTTCAATGTCACCCTAGTATTTAATATCTATTTGTCTCCCTACTAATAGTATGTAGATAATATAACATAAAATAAACAGGCATTGATTTGTTAACCTAGTATCTGAGCATCTTGCTTCCAACAAACTGTCTCACACTCCTCCATTTCGGATCCAACCACCGCAGGTGTGACTGCGCAACAAACGATAATAAATCACCACAGCGGCTTCCACGTCCATCTACTGGAACATGGCAGCATCATCCCAACATGGCATCGAAGAAATGCCGACCTTCCAGTCACAACAATTTATGCCATCAAAATATATGTAGTTGCCAAGCTTTGAAATTGTAATTGACACTTCAGTTCATAATTTGAGACAGAGATTTTGGGAGAAAATTATTTGAGATAAGCATGCAAAGTATATAGAATTTTGACAGAAATTGCAAAGAGAAAAACAAAAAATTTTCAGATAAACATGTTTGAGATAGACAGGTTCAAGTGTAAATCAAAATCAAAAATAGCACTTAAAGGACACGTTGTGAAGTTGCTATAAACTTTACGGCAGAGATTACTTTTAGTTAGAGGAAAAAAAATCAAAATTTGTTCGGTGCCATATGCTCACTTATAGTCGACTTAACCAACAATAATAGTAGCAAGAAAAAGTTTGGGTAAATTGCCGGTACATATACTTATAAGGTAGGTGAACGAACGACTTACAAGCGGGGATTCTCATTTCCCAGTCCTGGGATTTCGAGAAAAAAAGAGATCCATTTCCCAGAATTATAATTAATTATTTTTAAGTTATGAAATAAATCTCAAAATAGAACGACATAATTTTTTTTTATGTTTTAAGTAATTTAATACGTCCCGTCATCTCCAAAATAAAAATATTAACAAAGCAGTGTAAAATACGTATTAAAAACTACCTTCGAATTATATAGAAATTTTCTCAAATAGAAAAAACTTTATTAAAGTTTGTTGAAAACTGCTTACAGTAGGAAAAAAAAAATTGCCTTTGAATCGAGTCGAAAATTTAACAAAAAAAAAAAAAAATGAACTTAGATCAAACTTCTAACTTAGAAAGTAATTTTAGTTTAAATAAAACATAATACAAAATATTACTGTAAATTTTCATAATAATGCATTTAAGAGAAGACAGACATTGCGTGTTTTTTCACTCGTAGTCCATAAGATTTCTTAGTCATTTTTTGAGAGGCGTGGCAGCACTACTTTTGCTGCCCAGTATTCTCGACCGGTCAACCCGGGCTTCTCTAACGGCAGCACGGAGCCGATGGTCCAATAATCCAGCAGCTCCTCCGGTTTTAATAACGGGGTTTACAAAGAAAAATTTCAGACTCACGTACTTCGTACTGGTTTGTATCCCGGCCCAATTTGCACAATGCAGTTACGGAAGCTACCGAGCAGGGTTAAAAATCCAGACAGCACGGGAACAATTATTCCAGATATTACAGGTTCCGACAAGTAAAGAATTTTCGGATTCTTGCCACAAATAGGCTACATATTGATTATTGGCAATCCATGACTTGCCATAACATGCAAATATTTAAAAACCTAAAAAGTGGGCATAAAATTAATAAATTAAAATGTTAATTATACTTTCTAATTATAAAATTTCCTCAACTTTAACACAAAATAAGAAAAAGGTGTCCTTTTAAGAAATTTGCGGGTTAAAAAACAGCCGGAATGCCGTTAGAGAAAGCCCACTTATAAGTAACTTTTACCGGTGCTTACGAGATAAGAAAGGCTATCTCATTCTGAACTTTTCGCTTTGAAAAGAGTCATTTAGTGTTGCTAAGTTTTGTCACTAGGTGGTGTCTTAACACCCCTATTCAGACAGATGGACACATACCAGCTAAGGCAGTCCTGACTAAAGTGCTGTCAAATCCATTGAAATTTAAAATAACGATTATATATATTGTTTATAAATGTTTTGTGAATGTAGAAACTACCCAGTTGTTTTATTCGCTTTAAAACTTTGTGTAAACTTTCTAATCACATTATATTTATTAACCCAAATCGCATCTAATGAATATATATATATATATATATGATATAAGTAGTAGTGGTTTGACACATACTGATCACAAAATTAATTTTCTAATCACAAATTTTAATTAAATTAATTTTATTTTAACAACAAGTTTAATTATGAAATGTTTTTAAAAATTAATTATATTTTCTAACTCACTTTATGAACTAATTTTTATTTTGATTATGAATTATTTTATAGAAGATATACGATTGGTCGGTTTTTGATATAAATATAGTTTTAAGGAACATTAGAATTTATTTTTAATACCAAGATTAAAAATTGCAATCATGGAGACATATGGTTTTATTATTACTTATAACAGTGATAGAAATTATTCTGTTTCCCCTCGTTTGTACAAGTCTTTAATAAATTCTAATGTTCCTTAAAACTATATTTATATCAAAAACCGACCAATCGTATATCTTCTATATAATAATTCATAATCAAAATAAAAATTAGTTCATAAAGTGAATTAGAAAATATAATTAATTTTTAAAAACATTTCATAATTAAACTTGTTGTTAAAATAAAATTAATTTAATTCAAATTTGTGATTAGAAAATTAATTTTGTGATCAGTATGTGTCAAACCACTACTACTGATATAGTCTACATGTTTATTTTTTATGCACTTACATGGTATGTTATGAGAATTTAGTAAAAGTCTATTAATAAAAATTATTTGTGTGAAAATCTCTTTCCATAAATATTTATAAGATTATTGTTTATTAGTACTGTAATTATTCTTTTTTCCATGCATTCTAAATCCTGAGATATGATTTCTTAAATTATTGATTTTTAATTAATGAGATAAATTTTTTTAGATTATTTCACTACTGAAGAAATTCATAATTACTCTTATTTTTCTACAAATCAAGCTTTTATGTGATATGACATGTAACTGAATAAATGGTGGTTTCAAAAAATAATTTTTGGACAGACTGTGTCTTTTGTGATTAAAAAAAAGATTTTTTTCTATTTAAAATCAAATGTAAGAGACTTGAAAACTTTTATAAATTTATAAAAAATATAAATATGAAACAAAAATATGATAAATATAGTTAAAGAAATTTACAAAATTTGAAAGATTAGATGATAGGATCATGTGCAATGCTTCTTTCAAATCAATACACAAAAACATGTTTAAGTAACTCCTCTTTTCTATTTTTATATCAGCAATATTAAAAAAAAAAAAATACTAAATATGATTTTAGCAATCGATCATTTATAAGAAAGCATTTGTCATTTAAAACTAATTAGCGCTATGCGTTCTGCTTTTTCAATTTTACTCATGTCATAATATTACGATCAATGTTCCCTCTTAATTTTATTTGTAGATGAGCATAACATATGCTTCTCTGAGCAAAAAAAATTTTTGCTGAACAGATTGAACAAAAAATTTTTCTGAGGATATATGAGGTCTGTTCAAAAAATACGCAAACTGTTTGAATTGTGTGGCTCTAGTTGGTTCCAGGGTAATCTGCTTGGTGTCACTAGGTTTGTACAGATCGTCTAGTGATAAAGCCGTTTTCCGATTACAGATATCTTTATTTGTTGATTAGCTATGCGGTTTTTAGTAAAGTGCGATTTTTTCGTTTGTCAGATTTCAGAATGAATGACCTGATGGAGCAACAACTTGCTGTGAAATTTCATGTTAAACTTAGAAAATCTGCAACTGAAACATTTGCTATGCTCAACACAGCTTATAGTGATGTTGCTACAAAGCGTATGGCATGTTTCAAGTGGCATGAACATTTTAAGGGTAGTCAACAGTCGACTGAAGACGATGAGCGTCCTGGACATCCTAAGGGTACCTCCCCCAAGGCTCCACAGTAAACCAGACTTACTACATTGAAGTTCTGAAATGTCTGAGGGATGCCATCCATCACAAAAGGCCAGAAATGTGGAGGAGTAGTGACTGGTTTCTCCATCATGACAATGCTCCAGCCCATTCAGCCCTCAGAACTCTTTAGTTTTTGGCTAAACACTCGATCACTGTTCTTCCTCACCCCCTACTCACCTGATCTTGCTCCTTGTGACTTTCTTGTTTCCCAAACTCAAAAGACCCTTGAAAGGAAGAATATTTGAGATGATTCCAAGATTAAGGCAAATGCGACGAAGGTGCTGAAGGACATTACAAAAGTGTACCAGGACTGTTTCAACAAGTGGAAACACCGTTGGGATAAGTGTGTGCGTTGGGAAGGAGAGTAATTTGAAGGGGACCCAGACACATAACTTCTATATAAAGTAAATTTTGTTTTACGTCAGTTCACGTATTTTTTGAACAGACCTCATATATATGAAATCTTATTTTTTCCTATAAAAATTAAAATAATTAAATATAAAGTAGAGATTAAAATTCATTTCAAAACATACTTTTATACAAAATATTATCTTTTGTATAAAAGTATCAATGATTTAATGTATTTCATCAAAATGTACATAGAAATAATCATGTTGCAGACAGAGTGAGAAATAAATTCAAATCGGCATGCATGCTCGCCTGCGCGGCAACAATTTGAGCAGTGCGCAGTCACGCAGCTTAGAGGGAACACCGATTATGATAATATATCGTATGATTCTTAAAATAATATTTTAAAAATGTAAATAAATAAATATTATACAGAATAAATAAACCAGGAGAAATAAGGATATATCCCGCTTATCCATATCATCTTAAGTTATTCCGAGTACAAGAAATCGCTTCTTTAACAAAACGATTTAAATAAACTGCTTTACGTGGGAAGGAATGAGGGAATAATCTTTAAAATTCATATCCCAAACTTATTAACGGAGAAAGAATGTCAAGGATAAGTCAATATACGTGATATCATCCATTTGTTTGTAATAAATTAACTCCGCACCTTCTGTTTCACTTATATCTTTTTAATTCGGCAACAACAAAACAAAAAAACGACAAAGTACCACGCCCCCATTCACTTTCCAACCACGTTATATTTACACCGATCGCATTCCGTAATGTGATTCAGAACACGCTCCTAGCAACCAAGGACTATATAGTCCTTGTAGATAAGACATTTCACTTTACAGAGATTAAGTATAAAAAATGAGAGCACCAGATGACAGGCACAATATCGTTTCATAAAGTAACTTTCTGAAGGAAGTAATATTTCCTTTCACTCGTGTTTTCCATAAACAAGTGGATTGCAAACACACTTAGTACATAATCCCGTTGCACATCTTCTCTCGTATATATCAGAACAAACATATGCGATCATTACTCGTAAGCAACAATATAAACGAGGCACTACGAAGCTTTTTCTACCCGTTGCAACGCTCGGGTTTTAGGGGTGTAGCAGTGCCCCTGCCAGCCACGGCGAGAACCCGTTTTGTCCCCCTGCGCATTCTCTAAATGCGATAGCCTCTCTTATCTCGTAAGCAACTCTTTTACTCATTTGGTCAAACTTTACCCACGTACACCGTCACGGCCGCACAGTGAAACCCACATTCTAACCTAACATAACTTATTCTAATTTATCAATATTTCTGTAATTTATGAGAATAGGTTTGTAAAGTTTGATCACTCATATAAACGAAAATAGGAGATCGTCATTAGTAATTAAAAGTGGTATAAATAATTACAAAACGTTGTAGATCTCTTTATTTTCACTTAAACAGCCCGCTAATTGGCATTTAAATCGGGCGAAAACTATGAATAAAAATGACACGATAAACAAATATTTTAAATTTCACTTACTGTACTTCTGTCAAATAGTTTATTACGCCCTATAAGCTATTTGCTTCTATTTTATTTCTCGCGCGATGCCGATGGCACCCCCACGCGTCAAAATTTATATAGTACATATGTTTTTTAATTAAAAAATATATTTGATGACATTATTCTAACGTTCAATATAAATATAATTCAATTTGCTTTATCTGTACTATTAATATAACAAAAACGACGTTACATAATTTAAATAAATAATTGGTTTCTAAATAAATTAAGTTTTCTTTTTGAATTACAAAAATAATTCACTCTATTCTATTCTTCTCCCCTGGTTCATATGGAGATGTACAAAAATAATTCTTAAATAAAATTATTATTTGAGTTCGTATTTAACTGCGCTTAACCGAAAACATTTTAAGAGCAAAATTGTTATCCTCCCTTCGCTGTTATTGGCAGCTGTCATTTCGATTTTTTTTCCTTTTAGTCTCAGGTGTTAAGTCTTTTTGCCTGACTAGCAAAAGACTACTGTACTTTTTTATGTTTATCGTCCAATGCGGTAAACCGTCTTTAACATCCGGTGAGTGAATCCATAAAACGTGTGACTACGGGACCAGTTCTACTTGGCCGCTACTTTTATCAGAGTCGGTAGATTAACTGGTCTTTCGACTACCTATCTTCACTCGTTGCTAAAATCAATTAGAGAGAAATGTTACCACCAGGGGCACTGCGAGAGCGCTAGATCGAATGTTTTCTTTTTATTGAAAGATATATAAACTTCGAGTTCGATTTCATCATTTTTTATATGCATTTTATTATAAGAATGAAAAAACTTTTATTTAAACCCGAAACCAGGTTTATAATAAATAAATGACAATAAAACATTAAACAACTTCCATCGCTGAGAAATGTTTATTTAATAAAACACTAACATTTTCAGCCTCACGGAATTGTGAGGATCCGAATTCGGATGTGTTTATATCATTTCACATTGTAGTTATACTTTCGTTTAATAACTGTCAACTTTTACACCTGGGAGTTAAACATCTGTTAAGTTCTCAGACCTAATAAAGACGTTTTCTCATCACCTTTCGACCTAGTATCGCGATTTTAACAGTTCAACATTAGACAAGAACAACAAAGTGAGCAGTCGTCGCCCGTCTTTCGAAAGAGAAGTTGTCACTCGTATTTTGTCCTAAGTGTCTCTATATTCGGATATCTGTGAATATATCATTTTATTCTACGTGTTATATCCTACTAAAATATCATCGAAACCCATCGTAACATCGTCGAACACCTTTGCGGATACTTTACGTTCTATCATTCTTACGGATACTTCCTCTACCGGATACAAGAACCGACATCCCGAACTTTCTTTCCTTCACCCAGAACGCTCGAGAATCTCAATCAAGACAGCAAAACCAAAAGGTATTTATCGACACGCGCAACTTATGTAAACTCTCTCTCTTATCGGAAACCCCAAAACGAATATCCTAATATCTAATCCCTATCGTAGAAATGTATATAACAGCTTATCGTTAACCATTAAACAGTTGTTACGTTAAAATGTCTCTGAGTAAGTCACTTCCGGTGCGCTGTCTCGACTCTGATCGCTCACACACGCGACCGCTCACGTCCGAAACGGTTTCTGTGTCTAGCCGTGAAGACACGGTGGTGTCAGTCCTGACGAAACCTGTCATTGCGATCTTCGCCGACGCGATGTCGACCCTTCGGTCACGTGGTGCCGAAGTATAGGGAGGCCCTTCGGCATTGTCAACTGGTGTCAGAAGTGGGATATTTAAGGCCCTAGGCTTCCCGGAAGTACGAAAAAAAAAGGCCGACGCAAAAACAAAACCTTGGGAAAAAGTAGCCTCCGAAAAAAAAAGCGAACTCCGATCACAAGTCATAGTATTGTCAGAGCGAGATCAAAATATATATTTGGAATATCTAAATAGGGGAAAAGATGGAAACCCCGGGAGAAGGAACATCGCGCGGAGCAGAAGGACAAGCGCGTGGAGAAACAGCCGGAAGTCTCTTCTCGTTCGATGACTTATATCCTGCCTCGCATCCTGGCACAAAGCGCGGTGGCATTTTTACGTAGCTAAAAAAACAATTACAGTATTGTAGGTCATAATCACTGACTTCAGTATATACCTAGCGAGAACAACGCTCTCCTGCTAACAGTGGCGCCAATTAGCGGCAAATATTGTTTCTAGCTAAGTTTGAACTATTAGTCGAACGACCAGTTAATCTACCGACTCTGCTTTTACTTAAAAGTTATTTTTAAAAATACGAAGTAACGAAATAGAACACTAATGAATTTTATTTCGAATTATCCGGTGGAAAGGTAAAGGCCAACCCAGTTTCTACACGGGGGCGGGAATTGGCGACAAAGTTATACGAATAAGAAAAAGCCAAGAACAAGTTTACTATTGAAAATATAAAGTTTATTTAATGATGCCGATATACGGTATCGAAATATTGTAATATACGCTCATTTTACGGAGAGAACACTATAGTCATACTTAATATGCCAACGTAAACGAATATGTCGTATTTATAAATAAGATCCGCTTAGAGTAAAATAATGTTGCCGTTTACCACTTGGAAGGAATAAATTAAATTTTACTGCGAAATATCTGGAAAACCGAATTCCCGGTAAATAAAACATCACCTCCGAAAATGCTTCTCCAGTCGTTTAATTACCGTCAAACGATTTAAAATAATATATTATTTACGTTTAATCGTCGTTTACCGGGACGAAAATTTATTGGAAGACAAAAAAAAATAAATTTCATTTATTACGAAAATAATCTGGCAACTCGCCCGAAAGCAATTTAAAAAATGGCGGCCAAATTTTGTTTGGGTGAAGAGGAGACGAAGGTTACGCTGGTTTTATTCAATAGCGTTTCAAATAGCGACGAGATAAAAGAAAAACTTATAAAAGGACAAATAGAAGCCACTTTTATTAATCCAAAAACGGTAATTATTTCCGTAATGAAATAATCTCGACTAAGGGAAGACGATAAATTGAACCTGTGAACGATTCGCTTCTCTTGGATTTGCCGTTTTAAATGTGCAAAAGTGAATTGTGTAATTCGGTTTTGTAGTTGGTGTTGGGAGGAGATGAATCTGACAGACGTCAAATTTCAATTTTTAATTCTAAATTAACTTCTGTTTAATGCCTTCTCCGGTGGGTATCGGCGGTTTTAATTGATAAATGTCGGCCTGTATCCGTGCTGTTTATTATATCTCTTCTGTGGCAACTGGCTGTGATTATTAAATAAATCCGGTAACGTTCTTTCACTTTATTTAAACGACACGGATCGTTAGAGGATGCTTACTATTATGTGTCGCCGTCTATTAATATACTGTAAATGTATTTCTTTAATTTGTTGGAAGTTTTTCAAAAATATGAATTATTTCGTAAAGTTATACAAAGCAGTTTCACTTAGTATTAAGTATGAGTTGTTATACTATGGTGATTTAATTGGATTATTTTACTACTATCTATGATTAGAAAGTGGTAAAATAATCCAATTAAATCTACGTTGAGAAGGTAACGAAATTTTCCTTAAATTTAATTTAAGTTTAGTTTTTTTGAATTGTATGTTAATAACCATTTATTTCCATTTTAGATAATCGACAAATTTCAAGTTCTGGTGGCCGTCAATAAGGCCCTTCATTGCCGGGCCCGTGGCGCCATGAAGACCAAGAACGTATATTCCGAAATATTGTATGGTCTTTCGCCCGCCAAAAATGTAAGCGAATTAAAATTACGCCCCGTCGTTTTGCGGAACCTTAAGAAAAAGTCGGGGAGTTAGTCGCCCCGGTTTCCGCTTCGTTTTCCCTGCGTTGTTTCAAAAAAACCGTATTATTTTGTGCCGTTTCTTACGTACCGCTCGGGCGAACGGTACCGGTCCGTCGTCCGTCGATACTCTGCCTACGGCTCGGTTTTGTGTATAATTATTAATAAAAGTGTGTACTTTTTTAATAAAGATTACTCGCTCCTTGAAAACCTTCGGAATTAACGACTCGGATTCGGAAGTGTTGGCGGTGATACTGGACGACCGGGACGACGGAAAGTTACGGGAAATAAGAAACGAAATACGAGGAATACAGGACGATGTCGAACTCCTTTGTCGAATTGGAGACGAGTCTTTAATAAAAAAGGTTAGTCGTTTATATTATTAACCTATTATTATTATTAAATTTCGGTTGTACGTCGACGACGGTAAAAGAATATGCTTGTTATCCAAAAATACGTGAGGATAAATTTAATGCCGGTTTACGAGAGCCGCAGTGTGTCGATTTTCGATAAATAATCTCGAATAGATATAATCTTAGATGGAAATAATTTGTTAAATTTTATGATAAATTTAACAAATTATTTTCGTCAAACTTGTCTTTTATTAAATACTAGCGGACGAAACTGGCCTTGAACGGGCAAAAAATAAGCGTTGCAAAGATCTAGATCAGGGGTTAATTAAACTTTTTTTATTCACGACCCCATTTATGATTGTGACTTTTTTCATGACCCAAAAATATAAAATAAATATCTATACAAATTTGCAAAAACAATAATGGTGTACTACCACAGTTCACTCTTGTGTTACAATGGAACAGAGACAACTGAATACACTGAAAAGCGATAACACTGTACTAGTTCACACTACAATCAGTGTTGCTGATCGTTGTCTCGCTGCACCAGATATGACACAAAGGGCAACTCACAAAACCTATGACACAAAGCTTGCCATTTTCAAACTCTCACAAATTATTTTCAATATTTTGCATTAAAATCTTGTGACCCCAAGATTTACTATGGGTCTACAATGGGTCTATGGGTCTACTACTATGGGTCTACAATGGGTCTATGGGTCACAAGATTTTAATCTTGTGACCCATAGTTTAAGAAGCCCTGATCTAGATCAGTGGTTCCCAATTAGTTTTTCCTGCGTACCACTTCAGGAAAGAGCTCAAACTCGCGTACTCCTTACAGCAGAAATTCATATTAATCCATACTAATATTATAAATTCGAAGGTAATTCTGCTGTTTGTCTATTACCTTTTTACTTCTAAACTGCTGAACAAATTTTAATAAAATTTGGTACAGCTTACATGTTGGAGATGGACATAGGCTACATTTTACTGCGAGAAAACATCTTACTCCCACGAGAAAATTCGACATAATGCGGGCGAAGCTGTGGGTAGACAGCTAGTGATAAATAGAATAAGTTTTTTTTTACATTTATTACCTTTAAAATATAATTTTAATAATAATGAAAATAACATAAGGTTATTTAATTTTAATGTGACAAATGTGCACAATTTTCTTTGCACAACTTTGTAAAATCTTGTTGCTTTTTGGTCAGCTTCAGTCTCGAGTCATCTTCGAGTCGAAGTCAGTGACGATGTTTAGTTTTCAAGTTTGTCGTGGCCGAAAATCCACTCTCACAGAGGTATGTTGTGCAAAATGGTAGTAAATATTTTATTGCCGCTTCGCTGACACGACGATAATGATAATTGTACAATTAACACAATTTTTGTTTCATGCGTAAGAATTTCATTTAGGTATAGTCACAAATGCATTTTTTTGATAAAAATTGGAAAATATTTTTAGTTATAAATAAACAAATTTGTGTATTTGATATCATGTTGTAAATTGCCGAATTTTTGATGGTCCACCCATTATTTTTTTGATTGCTTCATCTCATGCATTTAAATTTTAGATTGCCGCACGTACCCCTTCCTGCACTAATTGGGAACCATTGATCTAGATTATTAGATTATTGAATTCGATAGTTGGATGTTACCTCGATCTTTTGTTTAAGCAGGAAAAGAAGAAATTATCACAAAGGCTTTAATTAAAGCAAATATAGCAATATTTATATGTAATTAATGCCTTTGTGATAATTTCTTCCTTTCTGGCTTATTAGATTATTTTGTACTTCTAACCCTTTTATTATATTATAGTATTTGATTTATAATTACAAAGGTTATCTTACATAAGAGTTTATCACATCCAGTGCCCAAACTAATATTTTTTAAAAATTCTTTAAATTGTGTATGGTAAAGGAATAACAAATTTTTAAACTGTGTTCAATTGATCACTTGGTGTGATAAATCTTTGTGTAAGATAACTTTTGTAGTTATATAAATCAAATACAGTAGAGCGTCGTTTATCCGAATCAATTGGGGACTGGGGTTGTTCGGATAACCAATTATGTACGAAAAAATATATTAACCTATCCCGTGTTGAAATTTTTCTCCATTGCGTGTCGCTTTGCGTTGAATTTTCGTCAATGTTAAGCCTAACATAAACTTTTTAAAATAATAATCGTGGCTATTGTATCGTTAAAAATGATTTCTTTATGTTTTACAAACGAAATAAATACATTGAAAAATATAAAAACAAATAAAAATTATACTTTAGGCCGACTGGAATTCTTTCGGATAAACGACACTATTGTACTACAATATAACAAACATTAAGACGAAAACGACACAAAGAGTTTGGTTATTTTAACCTACCATTGTCATGTTTATTGCCATACTGGGATGATACAAAATGGCACAATTTCCTTGGTGGAGTAGATGTCGATTGTTAAAATATATCTTAAAAAATTTCAGATATATTTTTTCCTAATGTTAACTCTAAGAAACTGTACCATTTACAGCCAAATATCGAGTGGTAAACTGCCAATGAATCAAATTTTCGAAAAAAAAAAGGACCAAATATTTAAACTCAGCACCCTCAAAAATCACTTAAATCATATTTTGTGCAGGCCTGTAACTTTGGATTATGTAATTTTCCTATTTGAATGCCACTGGGGTTGGAGTTAATTTGACGAAAAGTAGTTGTTGATTTCCTCCCGGAAGACAGGATGGTCGATGACAACTAATTAATACCGATCTACTGTTAATATTTGAAAAGTGATCTATGTTGGATAGGTTGTGATGGTCTCACGAGTGATCGAAGTTTCTAACCTTAAAATCGTTGGCCTAGAAAAAGATTTCGAGCTCTACTTTGTACATTAAAATTGTTGCACGTACTGTACATTACTTTGGCTGAATGCTGAGCATCTTTAAGCAGTACCAGTGAAACAAGTTCGGGACAATGAGTTTGAGTTAATAAAGGGAGATTAAATTAGGAGGACACATACCAGGAAGACTTACGTAAAGCTGGCCCCTAGTTAGGTGTTAGTAACGTGAAGAAAACCCAGAAAACTCCACTTGGCCAGTCCGTTGGCTATGTGTGAACCCACGACCGACTACTAGTGTTTGGTGGTTTTATCTACTCGGTTACCTGGAGGGTACTTATTGGACTGCATTTTGACAAAATTGTAGACCTATAAATTTCCACTGTTGTCTGTCTGTCTCTGTCTTTCCTTAATCTCAAGAATGGAGTTAGATGGATGAAAGTCAATACTAGATATGGAAAGTTTTAGAGTAGGATGGCCAGATTAATTATTTTACAAACTTCTGGTTTGCACTGCAAGTCATGTTATTTCAATTCAAAGATTTTCCCCTGAATGGAGTTACATACATAACCAGCATGACCCTATTGGTAACAAGAAAATTATGATATACAGAGGAAAAACAATATTCCACTCCATGCAGAAAATGCTATATGCTACCTGTCACAGTAAGGCATAATAGCGCATCTGTTTGAGCTATATCATTGTTACAGTAATTATGTGAGTATGATATTAATTTTTTAAAATTATATATATTTTTTATAAGAATTTTCTTAAATTTTTTGCCAACAGATGATGCTAAATGTAAAGCCAGCAAATCAAAAGTAGACAGAAATTAATTGTTATATAAAGATTCTATTAATATTTTGAGGTGAGATGTACAATATTATTTGAGTTAGAAGTATGTGAATGTGACTGCCAAGTTTTGTAGCAAATGGTCTAGGTGTGCATAGCAAACAAACCAACATCCTCATTTATATATATATAGATGACAAATTTCTTGGAAATACAAGTATACCACCAAATTCCCAGCACTCTTGGTTTTAAACCCTATTAGATTAACCATTTTTCCAGATTAACTGTGATGATATATAACAATAATTCATCAACACACCCCTAATCCACTAATTATACTCCTTCTATGTATCTAAAGTTACTATGGACTGCTAGAAACTTCGGTCAATATGGACAGGTGTTTTTTACATTTGACAATGCCACTGATATGCATCTCTCTTAGAAGTCATAGATAGGTTAAAAGTTAAGCAAAGTAAACTAAGAATATCACAAAATTGTGGTATCACCACCCACAAGTGCAGTGTAAAGAATGTAAACGTGTAGGATGTTCTTGTCACTAGACTAGTTTACTGGGTGGTCATATCTGTGACCACCCAGTCCAGCACCACCTGTAATCTGGACAAAATTACAAGAGGTATCTTGAAATTCCCACTGTCACTAGACTAGTTTACTTGGTGGTCATATCTGTGACAACCGAGTAAACTAGTTTGTGGGAGTGGGAATTTCAAGATACCTCTTGTAATTTTGTCCAGATTAAAGGAGGTGCTGGACCATCAGTTGTTGGAAATTCAATGGTATATCTGTATTTTAATTCTTATTAATTGTCTAATTCACCCTTACATTGGAAATTTGAATAAACTATAATTTTAAATTAATTCACAGTATTTTAATGAAAATAGTGTGAAAAATTCAATATTTAGTATTATTGACTTATTGAAATATTCATTTGAATTTGCCGACTAGAACGGTCGGTTAACCAATAAGACAGTTAATCGGAGGTCGGATAATCGATGCTCTACTGTATATAACAGTACTAGCTGTTACCGCGACTTTGCCCATACGGATTTTGCAAGCAAACACCATTTATATTCAGTATTTCAACAAACATGATAATTGTTATATAACACCTACCACTGAGAATCAAATGAACTGTTTTCAATTTGATCAATTTTCTGGAATGTTTACAATCATTTTATAATCGAACCAATATGCAATAATAAATTCGAATTTAAAACAGTTTGAACATTTGGTTAAAAAATTGAAGTATATAAAAATATTTATAACAATGTCTGAAATGTTATCAATTTAATACACCTAAGTACTCAATGAAGACTAAATGTAGTTGAAAACAAAAAATTGCATCTAAAATAGTACAGTAGAAGCTGTTCTTCATGTTAAGCCTTAATCCTTTCCCTCTCCCCCATGGGAGAGGAAAAGAACTAATCCCTTCTTAGTGTGTGTTTTCATGACATATCCAACTGTGTACCAAATTTCACCTCTAGATTCAGCAGTTTGCTCTGGGCGATGATGAATCAATCACTCAGTCAGTCAGGACAAGTAATTATATATAGTTAGATAAATACCTGTATTCTTAAACTGGATATTAATATCTAGGAAGTGCAGATAACTAGTGCTCTGTTGTTCCAGTTTTAGGTTTAAATTGTGCCTATTGTTGTTAATCACATTCAAAAACTCCTGAAACTTCTGGTTATTTCTCCAAATTATGAATACATCATCTACATATCTTTTATAGAGTTTAAGATAAAAGTGACAATGGTAGGCTAAACTAACCAAACTCTTTATATGAGGTTTGTTATCTTATAGTACAGTATTTGATTTATGTAACTACAAAGGTTATCTTATGCAAGGGTTTATCACACTGAGTGACCAATCTAACACATTTTAAAAATTCTTTATTTTTCTACTATACACAATTTAAAGAATTTTTAAAATGTGTTACATTGGTTGCTCGGTCTGATAAACCCTTACATAAGATAAGTTTTATAGTTACAGTAGAGTGTCAATTATCCAAATGTCGATCAACCAAAACGTTGGTTAACCAAAAGCATTCCAGTCGGACTGTGTCCTGCTGAATCGAACATTTTTCATACTAGATTAACTTTTAAAGTATAATTTTTTTTGTTTTTATATTTTTCAATATATTTATTTTGTTTGTACAAAATAAAAAATAATTTTTAAGCATAGAATAGCCACAATTATTATTATAAAAATTTTCATCAGGCTTACCATCGACGAAAATTCAATGCGAAGCGACACAGAAGGGAGAAAAATTTAAACATGGGATATATTGATTCGGATAATCGACACTCTACTGTATATACATCAAACACTATAATAGAGAGGTTGTGGCCGACGTTTTCATGACATTTAGCGCCGCCTTCCTGTAAGCCTAGAAGTTTGACAATGGCGTTTGGAATGTTAGTGGAATCATGCTCAATGTATCAAATGCCATTGTCAAACTTCTAGGCTTACAGGAAGGTGGCGCTGAACGTCCGAAGTACACGTTTTCATGATGAAAACATCGGCCGCAACCTCTCTAATGTAATATAATAGTAGGGTTAGAAGTATGAAGTAATCTAATAGAGTATTTTATACTTAATCTTTGGTGTTATTTTTTTGCCCAGATAATGTCAGGCTGATCTGCTAGTTTTATATATAGGGTCTTTATAATTAAAGTTCCACTTTAAAATGGCCATAAAAGAAAAGCTGCTGGACAAAATGTTATCAAACTTCGTAACAGTTTACTAGAAGTCATGGGATTGTATTTTCCACAAAAAAAAAAAAAAATAGTTCTAAAACTCACCACCAGTGGGGAATGGTACCTTTGAAATATTATTAAACAAAATAAGACATAAAGACATCAGTTGAAATGTTTTTAATCATTTCTAAAATGTGTTACAAAACATGTTCAATATGGGGTCCACCATTATCTGAAAGTAAGTTAAAATCGCATTACTGTATTAGTAATGCGAAACAGTAGCTCTTAGCATATCAGGAGGAATGTTACAGACGTCAGTGTATTGCATTTTACAATTCTGCCAATGTTGTTCATTTTCATTTTCAACCAATGTCTTCATGTTTTATTTCATTTAACAATATTGCATACAGCACCATTCCCCATTGGTGGTGAGTTTTTCAACTATTTTTTTTTTGCGGAAATAAAATCCTATGATATCCTGTAAACTATTACCAAGTTTGATAAAATTTTGTCCTGTAGTTTTCCTTTTATGGCCATTTCAAAGTGGAACTTTAATTTATAAAGACCCTGTATATTTAAATTTAACTGTATGATATTTAAATTTTAATTTAAATATTTCATATTGAAAATAAAGCCACTTGGAAAAAATTCCAAAATGACAGTGAACCAAATGAGAAACTGGTGCACTTTGGTTTTACTGTGCACACGTCTTACCCTTCTATCCTGTTTTGTCTGTACCATGTGTTGTTTCCAAATTTATCATATCAATATCATTAATTGATCTTATGTCTTTATACAGTAAACATAGATAGATAAAATATCTTTGCAGTTCTGTAATGTGTATAATGTACTGTGGAAATCAGAATTTGAGATTGGCAGTTAGATGTCATAGTTGCCTTAGTGAATAGTTTATTTAAAACAAAAAAGTTTTAAATGTAACCTTAATTAAACTTCCACCATTAAAAGATTTTTTTAACTATATATAAACATCCTCAATAAAATCAATTAATGGTAAACAGTTAAATTGTGGATCGTAAAAGTAAGTTGTAAAAAAACACGCCAACAGACACCACTGTCAAAAGCGCCCCCCCCCCTGTATAGACAACAATATAAAAAAGTTTAAAGACAGTGAAAAACATATTGATTGAAAATCTTAATCATAATGTTATAGATATAATTGGCTACAATAGTACATGCATTCAAATTTTATTTATAATTCTAGGAAAACAAAAAGTTATGTATTAGAATTTATTTTAATAGAACAATAAAGAATTTTCAAAATATTGCATTCACAAGTGTTCATTAGAAAATTAAATATTGCAGTTACAACAAGTAACATTTTTTTTTTTTTTTTTTTTTTTTTTTTTTTTTTTTTAAATTATACTTATTTTAGCACTTCTTATTTGATTTAATATATTTGATTAATGATCCAGTCATAAAATTCTTTGCAATTCATATCATGAAAATTATATTTTGTTAAAATTATATCCTTTATGGTTTCTTGTGAAAGATTATTTGTTTCTCGAGTCCACTGTTCGTCAATCATATCGTTTATCCTCTCTGCAACGGCATTATGGTTTGGTATTGCAAAAACAAACTGTGCAATTTTCAACAGTTCAGAATATTGTTCTTGTGATGAACAAGCATTAAAATATTTTGTCCACTTCTTTTGGATATTTTCTTTACTTTCTTCTTCTGATAAGTTATTGATAAATTGTTTCAAAGCACAAAACTGATTAAAAAATTCTGAATCTTTAATGCTAATTTCTATTTCTTCAAGATATTGTAAACTAGGAGTAATTTCATTCCATTTGATTTCATCTTTAAAACACATCCAAGAAAACATTCTAAAATACTTTAAAGGCTCTAAACATGATTCTAGATAATTGATTGTTTTCTTGTAAAGTACATTAACTTCTTTCAAAAAGTCTTCAACATTGCTGCCTAATCCATTGATTCTCAAAGAATTCAAAATGCTTTGAATTTTCATAGGCATAAAATTATTATTTAATCTTTCTTGTAAAAGATTAACAATTTCACTTATTATATTTACACTTTCAATAATAGAAATGTCAAAGTTTTCCATTTTTTGAATATTATTATAAAAAACTGTCATTAAAGAATGAATAAGAAGCAGGTAAGCTTCACTTAAGTTATTATTAAAAAATTTAAATAAAAAATTAGGTGGATCAGTGATCGACAGAAAGTGAGATTTTAATACATCGAACACAAACAAAAGACGATTTATTACTGGCAAGAGATATAACCATCTTGTTTTAGAGTTACATAAAACATTTTTATATTCCACTTTGACAAATTCAACAAAGTCTTTGAGATGTATGGTTTGAACCTCATAAACAGAAAAATAGTTAAATAGTTTTAATATAAATACTTCAATATCTACAGATAACAAATCACAGCCTCGATGAATAGCTTTATTAAGTAGATGCACTGGGCATCCTACACCAATTATATAGTTGTTGATGTGCAATCTGAGCCTTGAATAAATGGTATCGTATTCCTGTTTTATTTTTCTATCAAAATTCATGATGCAGTTACCATCATAAAAAGAAATACATCTAGAACTCAGTTCATATTTGTTAAGAGAATTTATGATAATATCAGATATTGTATTTAGTGATTGATCATTTTCAAATGAAATGTCAATAATTTTATTTTTGATTCCTCCTCGTTTAAAATCAAAATACTGTATTATAATTGGAAGCATACTTTTTTCTAAATGGTTGTTGGTATCGATAGCTATGCCAATATATGGAATTTCATCTAAATCTTCTAAAAGTTTTCTTGTAGATAATGGTCCAAGAATATTGGTTATGATGTCCGTACTCTTTGTCCCACTGCAAGACACTTTTTCTGAAATATCTGAATTACAGTATATCTTTCTGTTCAGTTCAACTGTACAGTCTAAGGAGTTAAGTGAGTGATGATGGATGATTGTATGAAAAGTGAGTGTTGCTTCTGCAGCTTCGACAAATTTTGTATTTTCTGACAGAGCAACATATTCACGAATGGAATCTAATGCATTAGGTGTAGCATTTGCATTCCGCTGATGCTTTCTTGTAGCAAGATGGACCTCTATATCACATTTTCCTTTGTTTGCAATAGAAATAAAGCAATTACAAACTAGACAATAAACTTCTGAATCATTTTTTCCCTTCTTAAATGTTGTATATGTTCTTTTTAAGTCATCATTAAAGATACATTTTCTTTTTGGCATTTTAACTTTTGTTGTAGCACTAAATAAGTTAAAAAGGAAAAAATGAAACATTAATTTAATTAAAGTATATAATTCAGTTAAAATAATAATTAATAACAATAATACTTTCATGATCTTTTAATTAATTTAAATTATATACAGGAAAATAAATATAATTGTTTCTAATAACAATTTTTAGTAATCTTAAAAATAAAGACTAAGTTTACCATGCCAAAAATATCCACTTGAAGAATGCAATAATCACTGTATATGTAATAAAAATTGTTTAACATTGATAGACGGTAGTTACCTTGTTCTTTAAGAGGTTAGTAATCTTTCTCAATATATACCTATACACTGAAGAAGCAAAATACAGTGGTGCCTCGTATAACGGACAATGCGAATAACGAACTTTTTGTTTGGCCGTTACGTGACTCGAGCAACGGACTGGTTGCGAACAATGGACTTTCCGTTTGGCAGTTACGTGCGGCGACCAATGGACTTTCTACGAATAAGTGCGAATGATGTTTCCACTCTTTTGCCGTTGCCAATGACAAACTGCTATTTTTATAATATATTAGTATTATTAGAATATATTATCAGTATATCTGAAGTACAGAGCTCCCGTTGGGATTAGGCTTGCTCCCTTGTTTATTACGTACATCACCTCAGTGCAGGGTATTTACATTTATTCAAGTGTTGTGAAAATCATGGCTTCTAAAAAAACAGAAAATTGATTTCAATTGAAGCAATGCAAGAAATTATCAGGAGTGAAAGTTGACAAAAACTTCCTTGTCGAATGGGGAGAGGTTCAAGAGTTTACCAACACTCATTATCCAAACAGAGCTGAGGCCAACAGTATCAATGATCTCTACAATGACACCCTTGCCCGTCATTTCTGACAGGTGTTGAAGAGAGAGAAACAGACCATTATGGACATGTTTTTCAACAAGCCAGCAGGCAAAAAACAAAGGATGGAACAAGAGGAGTTGACCCTGCAAGCTCCGGTAGCCTCTCCTGAATCTGAATCCGATTAAAAAACAATAAAACAAAGACCCGCTGCAATGTGTAAAAAGTCTGTATCTGTATGAATGTGTGAAGAAAGTGTTCCTACACCTCCTCCTCACATCTGACTACCCGGCATAATTGGTGACTGCTCCATTTTCATTTTTTTTTATGGTACAGTACGGTTATTTTATGCTGCGGAACGAATTATATGTTTTAACATGTATTTCTATGGGAAAATGCGTTTCGTATAACGGACTTTTCACTTAACGGACGTGCACCTGGAACGGATTAAGTACGTTATACGAGGCACCACTGTATTAGTAATACTCATCTAATAATAAATAGACTTATTTTCTTTTTACAACCAAATGGTACATGAACTTTGTGCACAGTGAGAAACTGATTCAATAGGATAGCAAACCATCTGCTGACAATGGTAAGCTAAGCCTGCATCTGATATCTTCTGGCTAGTCAATGGTGATGGGTCCACATATTCAATTGCAACATGTCATAGAATTGCTCTATAGGGTTAATATCAGGTATGTGAAGTGACTGTGCATTGTGAAGAAGTTTTATTTTGAATCTCCAAGTAGTTTGACACCACCCAGGACCAATGACAAATTTTCTTGAAAGATGGCACTTCCATCAGGATATATGACTTGAATAGATTCTGATATGTGATTCATAATGGAATTTTGGAAATCACAGAGAATGCATACCAATTCATAACATTCCTTTCATCAGCCTATGTTACTATGCATTACGTATATTTACTAACATCTTTTCTTTATATGTCATATATTAATTCAGTTGTCTGTATAAAGAAGCTGAAAATTCAGTTCACTAGTCCAGGTCAACCTTTTTTATAGGAACAGTGATCTGGATCAATGAATCCAGTTGCAATGAAGATGTGGCACATGGCCACATAGCCTGTTGAGACAGGATATCATCAAGTGTTCTCAAACAGAATCTGCTATGGAAACCCAACCACGAAATGGTAATTGCTTACATGTAATGCATTAATATAATGATCAACAAGCAATTATTTTATTGTGACATTGTCACAATTCCAGGATGCAATTCTTAATTTATTTAATTTAAAATATATGCTCTCCACTTTCAAATTAGTAGTGCACATCATACTTTTCCTTTAGCAATCGAGTTCTGCTGGTCATCTATCTAACTTCTTTCAGGGGAAATTTCTGAATTGAAATAACATGACATCCAGTTTGCATATAGTTAATCGCCTCCTGCCTGTATGGTTTCCATATTTGGTCTTGTCTTTCATCTATCTAACTCCGTTCTCAAGATTAAGGAAAGATGGACAGATGGATGACAGTGGGAATTTGTAGGTCTTCAATTTTTTCAAATTGCAGCCCAATGGGCTATGATACTGCTCTTTTGTTTTGAGAAGTCATCTGGGTCACTGGCTGTTGCTGGACTACAAGTCAACATACCCATTTCTCACGTTGTGAATCAACAGTCCATGATCATTCTTATCCTCCTCCAGCTAGTGGTTTTCCTTGTGTTCATCTAGGCATTATGTAATAACAACACCTTAACAGTGAAACATTTTAAACTTATATTACAAATCATCCTCAGGTTATGCTAAAGAATGCCATGTAAGAATAATTTAAAATTGTAACTAAGGATGGCTCGTAAAGCAAGTTTAAAATATTTTGAGTATAAATGTTTCCGTGTTATTATTATTGCTATGTTTACTTGTGAATGTTTTATTCTGTCAGGTATTAATTATCCTTAATGCTACACTTTGAGAGCAAGGTGTTTTGGCCACTGTTTTCAAGACAGTAACTCTTGTCTTTCTGGCACTAATGTCCTTTCACAGTTGAATTCTATTGTTGTACCATTGCTGTCACAAGAGGAAGGACATACAACTGTAAGCAACAATTGTCTTCCAGATCTGTTGATAATATTTTGCTTCTTCAATGTATGAGTTTTATAAGTATTATATGCAAATAGAATGATTATTGTATTTATCCTAACTTGGTTATAACAGTGATCATCCTTATTTGAATATTCTAATTATTTGTGTGTGTGTGAATATAATACTAAACGAAATATAAATAAATAAAGTACTGTATTTGTAAATATTTTTAATGTTTAAAACTTTAAAATACATTAATAAAATAAATATTTGCATCTGCACGTGCAGAATACAAATATTATGTTTAAACGCCAAATTCATCATATCTTTCTTTTATTTAAACACTAAAGTTCTGTTTACTTTTCATGTTTAAATATAAATCACAGGTCTTCCACTACATGCAAATTCTCTGATGTTGCAATGGGGCTGCCCTATGAGCATTTAAATTGTCAAATCTGTTCAAAGTGACTTTTGTGTCATCTAATGAGTAGGAGCCACCAGTACATTGGAGCACTTGTTCCCTTTTCATCTGTGTTGCCCCCCTTTTTAATCCTCAAAGGAACATCAAATTCCATTATCAACAAACAACAGAAATTTCATGACTTCTAGCCTATCCTGTTAATATAAAAAGAAACTAATGAACGAGATTTGTCCACTGTCCCAAAGCAACTTTATCATATGCCGACCAAAACGTGACCTTTAAAATAAAGACATTTCTTGTTTTTAAGGCCAAGTTAATCCCAAATGCAACCAATGCCACCTTGTGGAGTGCTGATCCAAAACTGAATAACACAGATTATTGTTAAACTCTGCTAAACGATGTTGTCAAGAGCATTGCTAAACTTGTTTTCTTGAAGTGTTGCACACAGAGATTCTCACAGCAGTCTCACTGGTTTGAGGTTGAATCTGCAGCCCTTGTTTCAGTTTCTTGTCTTGTTGCAACAAAGTTTGTTTCTCCATGGTGGAAATGTGTAAAGTTGACCGAATGTGTAAAGTTGCCGACCAAAACGTGACCTTTAAAATAAAGACATTTCTTGTTTTTAAGGCCAAGTTAATCCCAAATGCAACCAATGCCACCTTGTGGAGTGCTGATCCAAAACTGAATAACACAGATTATTGTTAAACTCTGCTAAACGATGTTGTCAAGAGCATTGCTAAACTTGTTTTCTTGAAGTGTTGCACACAGAGATTCTCACAGCAGTCTCACTGGTTTGAGGTTGAATCTGCAGCCCTTGTTTCAGTTTCTTGTCTTGTTGCAACAAAGTTTGTTTCTCCATGGTGGAAATGTGTAAAGTTGAATTCTTATATGATGTGACAGTAAAGTTATAAGGTTTTGATCACCACGAATCAATATTTTGTTTGTTCTAATTTTTCTTTTAAAATACTCATTAGTAAAATAAAATTAATTTGACAAAAGTCATATATTTACAATATTTTATTATCTACACTATGCAGGAAGAAACTGTATACACTAAATTTAAATAAATAATTTTATCTCCCAAAAGTATTGCATCACAAAAATGAATTACAATCAAACCTTGGTTTCCAAACATAATTCATTCCTAAAAGTTCTTCAAAAACCAATTTGTTCTAAACTAAAACAAATTTTTCCATAAGAAACAATATAAATGGATTAATCCACAAAATAAAGCTTTTTTTTTTTTTTTTTACCTTTCTAGCTGTATTCATTACCTTTCTAAAAGATGTTTGTTAAAAGTTCTTGTGTTCAATTAATACTGTTAAATAAAATGTTGAATGTCAATTGTATATTAATGAGAAATAACAAAAATTTATTATTAAATATAATTTTTTTATTATTTAATTAGACTTAAACACCATTAAATGATTCTTAGATGCCATTTATATTATGTGATTGTCAATTAATGCAGTTTTAGTTAATTGATTTAAATTCAACTGTAGCGCATACTGAAAAATGGAATTAGTGTCTTTCCTGCATACACATTGACATCTAATTTAAATAGAAATGTCATTGATGATTTGTGCTGCAACGTCTAATGATGCGAGGTGATCTTGGAGCCTCTTAACTTCTGAATTAGTAGTCCTGTTGTTGATTGATCGGGCCATTGATTCTTTAACGTAGGAATTATAGGGAGTTGACCATCTGTGTCTCTCTGATCTTTGGCCAGCTCTTGCAGAGTACATTGTTCGGCTACTGACATGTGAGTTATCATCTGGCAACCAGTGCAATTAAGAGTTCAAAATTCTGTTTGAGGACTGATTTGTTTGAAAAGTGAGTAATTTGAAAACGTAGTTAGATGGGAGGATGCAGAAATCATCAAGCAAGTGCACTCCCCAACTTTAGCGAAAACTGCTGAAAAAATGGAAATATATAGGAGCAAGCTAGATGAAAAATGCATAAACGCCAGAGATGCGGAGGGCCTACCCTCAGCATGGAAGTACGCCATTCAAAAACTTAAAAAACTTACAAGTAGCTCTTGAATTGCGCATATCCGCAATTGTGTTATGGGAACCATAATGATTTTTATTGGTTAAAGGATAGTGGCTTATAATAATAATATTTAATGGTTGTATGTTATTTATTTTTACATTTATGTATTTTTACACTTTAACTTTTATTTTAATTAGTTGCTATGTTATCGGTATTTATCTCTTTGAATTTGAATTTGGTGTTCTATTTTTTGTTATTCCAAATTCGAATGTTTAAACCTGAGGATGATCTACGGAGTAGATCGAAAATGTTAGTTTTTTTAATAAAACTCCCTTGGCAAAAAATAAGGTGTTTGTTACTTGAATAATTATTTGAAAACTATGGTTTGACTGTACTTTTAAAATGTTTCAAAATAAATAGTTCACAAAGCATTCCAACAGCTGCATCGAGGTCTGCCATTTTGAAACTGCGGCATTGCTCTGTGTGCATTGTTAAAAGACCCTCATTAGCTATTGCAATGCTCTTGCAGCAAAAGCAGCAGTGGTGAATTTAACAAGCTGCTAGTTTGAAGCTTCTTGCGTAATGTATGATGCCCTTTTTATAGCATGTGCTCCCTTTTGTATAGACTATGGGTGCTGTTGTTAATTAATGAGTCATATAAGTTTACAAAGCATATAAATTTGTAAGTTTTCTTCAACCATAAGAAGTATATAGCTATATAACAGTGATTCTCAACCCTTTTAGGCTCTCAGTATACTTGAACAATCATGTGAAAGCTTTGGCTACTTTATTATTAAACATATGGAACTGACCAAAGGATCAATTATGAAGTTACTTTTAGTTGAAGACAAACATATCTTGTTCATATTAACTGTCAATTACCAGTTAGTTGTACTGTACCAGTAGGAAATTTCTCTCTTTTTACAATATTTTATCATATTTTACATTTCAAGTTGAGATGTTTTGATTTTGTAAGTTTATATGCTGTTTCATTTAATGTTACAATCAAGCATTTTCCACACATTAGCACACAATTTATTTTTCCTGTTTGTTTATCATTTAGTAAATATTACTTATCACTACACTCAATCCATCATTAAACATTAATATCTAATTATAAGAAGTAGCTTAACCACCTACTTCTAAACAAATTACTTTGTTTCTGATTATTAAGTAGCCTTAAAATATAGTTTGATAAAATCTGGCAGATCATTTGGCAATATGAGCTATTTACATTAAATTACTCAGAATAAAATGATTACAATAGTATGTTCTTTCAAAACAGCAAGTACTTTCAACGCAACCATATATCGACCTCAAATTTACAAAAATGTCTTAGCTGTTTCTAATTGTGTGAAAAAGGAAATAAATGTCCTCATTCTGTAATAGAAAGAGAGATTTAAAAAGTTTTAACTGATTAGAAATGCTAAGAAAGAAAGGAGTCCACAGTTAAAAGGAAGTTGCAGGAGGATTGATAGCGCAATCAAAGGAGCATTTGAGCAGGACTTTTTTGAAATCACGAAAAGAAAATATTTGTCTCTATATATGCAGCTGTGCACATCGATCATAATAATAATACTGTTTCTCTGATCCCCGGCTGGAACAAACCCCCGAAGTATTGCATAGACTGTATAATTTATTAGTTTTCTTTTTTTCTTCAAATTTTAAAATTTGTTTTAATTTTTTTAATTCCTTTTGCAACACACCAGTCGGGGACTGCTGTTATACAGGGGTACAGTGGGTGATCAGTTAACGAACATAATCCGTTCCAAGACTTTGTTTGTTATTCGATTATCAATTTATCACAGGTTTTTATGGGAATTTGATTAATTCGTTCTGGAGACTCGTTCGTTTTAGATATTTTTATATTTTTTATTTATTACATTTATTTATATAATATTATAAGATATAATAATAAAAATACATATATATGCAGTCTTGCATTTTTATTAGTCATGTTTTTTCTGTTTGTGGGGTTAAAGAATCCGTCCAATGTCGATTGCTTTTCTCTCTTCTTCAAGATTTTTTAGAAGTAATTCGTAGCATTGTAATTGTAGAGATCCTTAAGCCTATTAACCTCAACCCGGTTTGGATGCCATTCTAAGACCGTCGTTCCGACATCCTCCCGCTTCTTCAAAAGATTTTTAATAGCAGTATCGGCATTAATGCTCTTTTACGAAAGAAAACATATCTCGCCGAGTTTCTCTGCGTTCATTACGAGCTCTTCGACGTTCTTTATTTCTCAGATACGATTTTTGTTACTCCTTTAGCCGCTCGAGTCTTCTCTATTATACCGCATCTTTCTTAGATAAGGTCGAACCGAGGCCTACCGTAGACCCGTTCGAGCCATACCGCCCCGGCAACATCAGACATCCGCCCGCTCTCTACCTTCGCCGTTATACTCTCATCTTTCGAAAATAAAAACAGACGCAAAACTTAACGAGTGCCCGCCCGACAGTTTCCGTCAGAAAAATAAAGACCGGAATTACGAGGAAGAGTTTCGAAGTTCGGGGGAATACTATCCGATCGGTACGTACCGGGTCGAGCGTCGACGTCTCCCCGCTCCAAAAAGTTTCGAATCGTCGTCCGAAGACGAGGGAAGACCGGTCGGCATTCCTTATCCGATCACGCGTCGGTCGTCCAAACATAAAAATCTTTCGCAAAAGCGCCCGTTATCCGATTTGTTCGTTAACCGATCGATCGCCCACCGTATATGTATTTGTTACCGAACGTGACGAACTACAGGTTTCGTATCGAGCATTTGAATTTCGCTAATCCAGACGACACGGTCCGCAGTCGTCGACGGGGACGACAGAATAGCGCGCGGAGCACAAACCGACTTATATTTTCAAGCATATTTATATCGAACGGATTACGAATCGTTTTAAACGAAATTTTAAGAGAGACGAATCGGTGCCGGTCGACGGGGGTATACGACTAATGCGGCGCAGCATAGATTTGCTTTTCCCGAGATATTAGCCTTTTGTTCGGCTCCTACCTCTAAAGGCTATTCAAACTCATTTCAGATTAATCTAAGATAATCTCCAGTATTTAGGAACGACGGATGCCGGCCTTAGATTGACGGCTATAGATACATAAGGTCACGTATCCATCAAAACCGTCGATGTAAAAGATAGGATACTTTACCTTTTATACATAACTTTGATTTAATTACGATTAAAGGGAAAGTTTAAATGTAAATTTTTGAGGAGACGAACGATATCCCGGCTAACATCTCATCGACATTGTTAGAAAACTCATCGATGCCGGTCAAGATTATTTTATAAGGTGGGTCGATAACGTTAATAATTCTCAACGAGACGTAGAAATTAAAATAGATTACCATTATAACGTATAAATAACAAAGGCGTTTAAATTATTTCTTAAAAGAAAAGGTATTTTATATTAATTACTTTTATGTCATTACTTAAAAACGACTTATACCGGAAATTTAATTAATATTTTAAGTTTAGCTGGTAACAGTCGTCGAATATCTGACGTAAAGGTCTAAAGAATATGGCGCCTACAGCTCGAACGTTGCCAGTTTATTATTCGCTCCACTTTTTCTAATTTCTCGTCGTCGTGTCGAAATAACTTTTTACGTTATAAAAATATAAAAATGTAATACGATTACCGTATTTACCGCTTAATTTTATAATCAATATATAAGAAAATGCCGACGTTACCTCCAAAATCCGGACTGGGGATTGTCTGGCCCGGACGTTCGACCTATTTACAAACGGGTCACATCCGGAAAATATAGGACGCGTGGCCACCCGCCTTCTCGTCCAACATAATTACAATTTAACCGTTACGTGTTTTGTAATTCCAACCATGATTTATTGATACGAAAATTATAAAAATAAATAAATACGCATTTAAATTCATATGTTTAATATATTGTTATTGCCAGCGATAACGAAAGACGCAATTGTTTTTCCGAAGTGGGGACGACAAAAATTTTTATTTTTTTTAACAAGTCGGCCAGCGTTCGACATCTTCAGAATTTATAGGCGATAAAAATGTTTTTATAACACATACTCGATATATGATTTAAAATATGCGGTAGACAGGAAACGTAGCTCGTTACGTGATAAATCTGGTTAGAATCGGATCCCGACATTTAACGTATTACGTACGAATGGTAGCCTTTTCCTCCTGGCTTTACACTTTTATTCTCCTAGTGGGTGACCGGCGTCGGGGAACGGGTCCGGAAATTCGCCCTCTTCGCGGAAAATTCCCACCCCGGTTCTCGGGTTGCCTTTACCGCCTCGGCCGTCCGAAACGGTTAGGGTCGGGACGTGTCGCCACCCGACCTAATTGTGACCGGCGAAACAATATGCCGACGATATTGCATTTCCAAGTTTTAATGTTTTAACTGTATATATCGAGAAAATAGCGAGTCCGTAAATTTTAAAACGAATCTTTTCGTACGAGGATCGAGTAGATCGGCGGTCGCATTCCGGTGGTCCGTGGAGAAATTTAAATTTGGACGTCGATCCACTCCAGGATACGCCAAGTATTACGAAAGAAATGCAAAATGCTCGGTGGCTTTTTCTCGCTCGTTGGTGGTTTATTATTCGAATCCTAAACTAAACACGAAATGACTTACAAACTTCGCACCAATTTGTTATCAATTAGTGAATTTCATATTAAAGTAAAATGGAACTTTTATGATGATTATTCTATTGCTTAAAAATAATTCTTTACGGCGGATTGTGGGATTCAGAATTAGCTTAAATATCTTTTTCCTAGTTAATTATATAATTTCACTTTTTTGTTAGTTATTTAATTAAAACTGTTAAGCTGTCAATGTCATAAAGTAAGACTGTGTTTCTGCATACCGAGATACTATATATTGTATTTTATTATTATGAAGTAGAGTCCTAATGTTCCGTATGACTAATGCATTACTCATCGTATTCTACAACCGCTTTCTACCGAGACTATCGGAGAGCCACGTTTATTTTTTTAAAAAATACGAAATGAAATGGTTCAAATTTTTACAAGATATTATTATTATTAATTGTAAAATTTTGACGCCTCTAAAAATTCCGCCCGGAGCCGGCCGCCCCCACTGCGCTACGCCACTGATTCTATATACAATTTCTGCTGTTTCTATTTTTTTATATTATTTTTTTACATTACTTACAACTAAATTATGTTTATTTTTAAATTTTGATGATATATATATATCATCAAAATTTGGCTGTATATGTATATATATATATACAATGTGGCGTTCGTCACACCACTTGATTGTGTTCGCTGAATATGAATAGAGACCGTAGTCATATATCTCCTATTTGCTTTATTTACACTATATACAAAGAAGTCTCGTCTACCTAACGGTCGGTTGGTTGGAATCCACGTGTACATGAGAGCAACCCGAGAGTAGCTGGCATGTCGGGAAGGAAGTATGGCGGACGGCCTGCACATGTTTATATAACCGTCGCGCCAGCGCCACCTGGATTTTCAGATGTAGCGCTGGTTACAATTATGCGGCCGCCACATATACATATATATACAGCCAAATTTTGTATGGAATATATATATATATTCCATACAATAGAATATGAATACAGTAGAATGCTGTAGAATGTGTGTGACATATTACTGTAGTCCTATTGAAGATTACAATTTTACTTGATAAAAATTTGCATAAGCCACCTTGAATATAAAATAATTTTAGTTTTTACTGAAATCTCTATCTTTTTCATATTATACTAGATTGAAAGTTAAATATATTTATTAAACAAACATTTTTGTCTTTTTTCTTTCAAAGTCATCTTGAAGTTAGTAAGTTAACATGGAGTAAATGTAATTCATTGATTTAAAAATAATTACAGTATTTAAATAAAAGTATATTTCTAAAAGTTTGTCAAAATACTGTATTACAAGAGTTTTTATTGTTAGTGCATGTTCTTGTTTTCTATAACAGGGTAAAAACAGTAAGCAAAGAATTGTTTTTTGTATCAGGTCTTTGTCATTTATGATTATATACCAGATTATTGAGTTAGACATAAGAATCATATAAATTTTACTTGATAAAAATTTATTACAAAATTATACAAAATTTCTTATACAAAATATATATTGGTACATCTTGTATGGTTAGTGGATGGATACCGATTGATATATGCTTATTCATTTTTCTTTTTTAGTCATAATTTCAATTTTATCACAAAAATAGTAGAGAATATTGAAAGTCCAATGGTTATAACCCTTATACCAAATATTTAAACTAAGTTCAAACAAATTTGAAATATATTGCAAGAAATTTTCTGACCAGGAGCTGCATTCTAAATTGACTGTTCCATAGATGAAATATTTTTCATATAAAATTTCCATTCACAGACCGATTTTTAACTTCAGGAAAAAAACAAAACACATTATAGAAATGGCAAACTTTATTTTAATATTGTAAAAGTATGTTTCATTGTTCATGAATAGTGAAGCAATATATTTTCTGTGAACATTTAAGATTCAGAGAACAAAATATCAATGCTTGATACTCTATATATAAAATAGGGTTACTGATTTTAAATTTTTTTAAATTTAGGCATATTGATTTAAAAGATGATGGTGATAAAGTTGCGTACGATAAGTAGAATATTTACATAACAGATAGCTATTTTCTATTCATCCCGAGTCCTGTTCATTCTCTTTTCAGTCAATCTCTTTTCTTCCCTTCTACTTTTTATTGCAGTTATAGTTATCAATATGTTTATAAATAGTGAGTCTTAGTTTTTATAGCAATAAAGTACTGGAAGATCATGAAATTAAAACTAGAAATATTAAAAATATTTTGAAATATAAAAAGATATACTGTATTGTAAAAGTGATTGATTTTTGTTCAGTCTTAAAAAAATACGTATGAATTATATTTTATTGATGTAAAAATATAATCATTTCAAATTATACCCACATATATGTCTGGAGTCACTTTGGTAAGTTTTTCTGTGAATTGATTGCATAAAAATATTAATTTAACACACTTCAGAACATTAAAGTTCTGACATTATCTTTTAACAAATACACTTACTATTTATGTGGATTATTTGATTTGGGAATGAACCCACAGAAAGATTTAATATTGAACATATATGACAATATTTTTGTATTTCTTTGCAATGGAAATAAATTTTTTGTAAACAGCTAATTGTTGTGCTTTGGCAGAGTTAGCCATACAAAAAGTGTTATTGTAAATAATAATTGTTTCTGTTTACTGTCAAATCTTCATACAGCACATCTTTAAATGGCATCAACCAGTGCTTAAAATTTATAGAAAAGAATCCTTTTAATATCTTTGAATTCATAAATAGCAAAATCATACCATCATATGCTATGATGATAAATGCCCTTAAACTCAAACTTGTGCAGACCTGGTTACTATACATAATTTGCAATGAGTTATTTCAAGTCTTCATTACACTTAATTTAGTGTCACTATCAGAGGTGAACAAATAGTGTTAAAACAAGGTTTAGAGTCTTAACTGTATTTATTCAACAATAAAGTTTACAAAATATACAGAAAATTTAATTATTTTAGCTTTTGTTGTTACATTAAAATTTTCTATTGGTGTTATGGAAGAATATTTATTTTACAAGTCCTTTTGACAAAATTGCAGTATTAATATTTTGCATCTACAGTTATTTATGTTTATATATGAAGTATTTAATGTATAAATCCAAAATAATTAATGAAATTTGCATCTGTAAATTCACAATATTAAGAATCTAATTATAGTATATTTATTATTGAATTATAAATTTGATTAAGATACAATCTTTATATAAAACTTTTTTTACATATTTCAGTTATATGGAATCAAAGATGTGGAATTAAATGTTGGAAGTATTTTGGATTCAATAGTGAGCAGAATTTCTGTGAAAGATTATACGTGAAGAATTGCTTTCCTAAAAAAATATTCTGTAATGTATGTAAGGTAAAAATAAAATGTAATAGTGTAGTTTGAAATAAATTACTAGAGAATTTGATTTTATAATCTTGATATAATGAAGGATTGAATGAATTATTTCCAATTAGTATGTTTCAGACAATAAAGTAACCTAATTATTTAACATGTATAACTAAAATGGCACATTGCATTCTTATACTTGTATGTATATTTAATTATCAGTGTCACTGACTTGTTTCTAGAAAACTGATTGCTTATTGCACGATTAATATCAAACAGTAAATCAATTTTCTAGATATAACACTTTTGAACAGGACGGCAGCATCCCTCAGATCAGGTCTGACACCACCCGTGATTGTCTGGCTCACAGGTACCTTCAAACCACACGAGCAGCCATGTATGTAGGACTTTTATGGAGTAAGAGATGAAGAAAGGAAATTTCAGAGAGACAGTGAAGCCCAGAAATAATGCATTCCACTATGCATTAAACCATTAAATAACAAAAATTTATTTAAGTTTATAAAAATTTTACAAGGGAATAGAGTTTATCACACAATTTAGGCAGGCAAACTCTGTGTTGTCGTCTGTCCTCTTGTCTTTTATTCGGAGTTCTCCCCTACCACTCTAATACCCATTTTTGGTAAAGTTGACGGTTGCTTCGGTCGGCAATTTTTTTCCCCATTTCCCTCGATGAGTAGTTTTTTGAAGCTGTGTCACTCACGGAGAAAGTGCTTTCAATGGGAAAATCTTATGAAGTTCCTTGACTGCATTTGTGAAATGGAATACTTCTCCCCTTTTTCTTTACCAAAAAAAAAAAAAAAAATAGAAATTATCGAATTTACACTAGCCTGGTTCTCACACACTGATGATTAAATATATGAGGCATATTCCAAAAAAAGACCAAACTGATTATAAAAGTTGATTGGCAAAAGCAATTGGATCACAATTGTGCAGTAACATCAACTGGTATCGATCTGCTGTTGGTTGTTTTGTTTTAGAGTGCATAATGAAGGCTATGAAAATAAACAATCCCATCAATTATGAAGTACAGTCTGTGATTGATTTCTACAAGTGAAAGGTCATTGTGCTTCTGAATTGTGTGAAATTTATGGTCCTACAGCCTGCACAGTAATGCACTCTTGCCCACTGCTGCTTCCACTGTTCAAATGGTTCAGCAATTTGGATAGGAACTGTTTGACCCCATCCCCTTACAGTCTTGATCTTACACTCAGTGACTACCACCTCTTCTTTCACTTAAAAAAGTGACTTATGTCTCAACAATTTGAAGATATTGAGGAGTTGCAAACATCATTGCTGGATTGGTTCAACTTGCAGGGGAAAATTTTGTGTGTATATTTAGTGGAATTTTATGCAGGGGGCAAGAAGATGCTTGTTTCCTGGTTCCAAAAATGATGACTACTTTGTAAAAATAGTGACTACATAGAAAAATGAAGGGGCTATATGTGTGTTTGTAACCAATAATAAATTTTTGACAGTTTTTCTAATGGTTTTTATAACCATTTGGTTCTTTTTTTTTTAATACACCTCATATATACAATTTGTAATTTCTCTGATAGTGTCTTTACTTTTAACATAGTTTTCTGACTGATCAAGAACATTAGACACAGTATACTAGCACTCAGCAAGCAATTGAAGATGGTACAGTATACATTACATACCGTAGGCTGTAGAAGCTGCCATCCTACTTGTGTGTAACTGATAACTACACGTCATCAGACCTGTACCTCTCGGTTTCAAGAACACTAAAACTGAACCTATTCAGGTGTTGGTAAATGTGTGGTCAGATGAATCTTGTTTCCAGCTGCATCACACTGATGTTAGGATGCAGAAGTGGTGTTGACAACACGAAGTCATGGACCCATACTACCAGATTGGTTCTGTTCAAGGTAATGGTGGTGATGACAGCTGTGTGATGGCATAGGGAGCCTTTTCATGAGAATCATTAGATCCTTTAGTATGCCTGGAGAGGTTCTTAAATGCTGTGAGCTGTCAGAATATACTGGCAGATCTACACCCTTTTGTGGCCCTTGTGCATTTTCAAGTGGATGATATCTCGACAGTCCTCGGATTTAAGTCTAATTGAATCTCTCTAGGATGCTGTTGATTGACACTTCAGATCCACAAAGCCTATATCAATTTCTACAGTGAAGTTGTTTGCAGTGGCAAAATAGGCATTGCTTGCAATATCTCCAGAAACTCCTACAGCAGCAGTTTCCAGTCTTTTTGACTCTCAAAGTCCCGTTTAGAATCAATTTCTATGGCAAATTCCCTTAGGCCTACCTTATATCTTACAAGTTTAGTAGTAGTGTTAGGGGAACCTAAAATTAATACAACATAAAATCACGTTTAAACGTTTAATGAGACACTTGTGGTTTCATTTTTTGCACAGTTTTCTTATTTTAGGTTTAATTGAGGATAATTGCAGATGAATATCTGGTTCTGCATTTAAGTGGTTTCTGTATTTTGTTTTGGTACCTGTATAGGTGGAGAATCGTGCTTTACAGAGAAACGTAGTTGAGAAAGGCAGTAATATGAAATTTAACTTGCAAACTGTTATTCTGTAATTTCATTCAGTGTTTGTTTATTTTATTTTCCTCGAGCGTCCTTGGAACCCTTAGGGCTCCACGGAGCATAGGTTGGAAACCACTGCTCTATAGCATCTGATGGAATCAAATGCTTTGTGATGTTCAGGCTGTCGTTCATGCTGGAGGAGAACTGATATTCTATTAATGGATGTCTATAATGTTTTGATCAGCCAATGTACAATAAATATTAGCTACAATCAATAAAAAGTTAGTGTAAATTGTTTGTGTTTTCCATCCCAGACATTTATGGAAATGTAGATTATAATAAACCTATATAAATCATTATTGTAACAGCAGGTTCTGGACAACTAGATTCATACATACGTACTTGTACACAGTTATGATACTTCAACTTAAATTAAAAGTATTATTTATCTATAATATATCTATTATATAAATAATAAAGGTATTTATACAATTTCTGTAATTACTCAGGATATATTTCTTCATAATTGAAGTTTAGACTATTTACAAAAATTCTTTGTGTTTTTAATGTAAAAGTGTCAGAAACCTATAACAGAAGGCCGACATTCGATCGTTTTTAACATCGTGAACCTTTTTTTACTTATTGTTTACCTTTGTTTTAAGAAGTATATTCTTCAAAAAATCCATGTTAACTGTTACTTCCGGGGTTGTATAAAAAGGATTAAGATAGACTCGAAAATTTGATATTTTTGTAAATAGTCTAAACTTCAATTATAAAGGTATTTGTTCTGTTATATAAATATTATATAATAGGTAAAAAAAACCCTTTATCTTCTCAAAGTGGCATTTAATAGATGCGTTCGTTAACTGTGTTCAAAGTTTTCTTTTAATCAACAGAAACTATTTATTCTTTGAAATATATTACTTTTCCGGCTGTTATATATAACAGAGGGAAAGTATGGCGATTGGTCAAAAAGTGACTCGTCCCAAGACTAAACTTTTTGGACTGGGAACCTGGAAATATCGAGAAATGAAGAAAATTATAGTTTTTTCTGTAAGTGTGGATGTTTGTGTTCCACACACTATTTTATTCATCCTATTTGAAGCTTCGTTAATTTACTCCACCAGATCAATAACTCCATCAATTTATTAAAAACACAGGGGTTATTAAGAAACTTTATTTTCGTGTATCGGTAATCTCATTGAAAGTTAGCGCTTTTTGTCTACGTGCGATAGTTTGTTGGAAATTTTGAGACGATAACGCCATCCAGCGCTATTGCATAGTTGTATCTTTTCCTTTTATTGACTCTGCAACTACGGTGTGATACCGCGAGAAATATTTACAAAACGTCACGAAACATCTGACATTTTAAACTTTACGCGTACCAGATAAAAAATAGTTAAAATAATTTTGGCCAGAGTAACGTAATAATCAGTCCGAAATTAGGCCAAATCGTTCCATCAGATTGACATTTTCCCTCTCTATTCTGCGTAACGAGTAGTATTCGCTGGGTGGCAAACTGGCGGCCCGCGGCCCCGACGATTTCTTTCCTAACAATCCACGTTTCTAACATCTGGCGGGGAATAAAACAGAAAAAGTTCAAACGTCTAACTGTTTAAGTAAATCGCGAGGGCTCGGCAACGAAAGGGCCTTCGTTAGAGCCTTTTTAAAATTACGGTATATTTTGGTCTACCGAATGATGTCGAAAGTGGCACGCTTCCGATATACATCTAATTGACTGGTCGTTTTCTGCATTTGACTTGACCAACCCCGCCTTAAAGAATAACAAAGATCCCGGGCATGCAAATTTAATGAAATTATAGTCACCAAAAGGGTAAGAAAATGCAAAATACGGTATAATAGCCCAAATAATCCTTTGTTTATTGCTTAAACGGTACGGGTAGAGTTTTAGTAATACATGTATTACGAATAATTACCAGAGATTTTTATACATTTTTAACGCGCCTATTTTCCTGTAAACTCCACTCGAACGGATCCCTCAAATTATTAAAAGAATAGACTAAGAAATGTACGATGGACAAATCGCGGAATGGCGATTTGTCCATCGTACATTATATTACTGGGATGGCGATCGACGGATGAAAATAAATCTCGTCATCCGCCGATATCGATTGTACCGATGCGTTGGAAACGGACGTAACGCGGTGTAGAAATTTTCACACAAGATTTACAGGAAGAAAAATGTAATTTTACTTTTCACCTTTATTAATAGAAGTAACTTAATTCGAGCTAAATCTTATACAATTTCGGAGGTAATTCGAATGGGAAATTCACTCCGATATCTTACGTGGTATAATTGCACGAAATTCATTAAATTAAATTTCCTTAAAACTTTGCAATAAAATTAAATGTCGAAAGACGGAAATTCGGCGGACGATTCGTACGCCTCCCGTAGAATTTATCCACCTCTTCCGAGATAATAAGCTTAAGAGAATTGCCGTAGGTAAATGTAAAATCGGATTAAGCGGAAACCTAATTAAATCCGGGTAATTAGAAAATAATTTTATCGCTACCGACTGCAATAATAATCGGAACGGTCGAGCGGTAAGCGGTAAGAAGTCGTCGTCTCCAAATAAAATCTACGAGAATGGAGGAGACGTTTTAAAATGCCCGAGT